TTCTGTTTCAGGTTGCCACCGCTTTAAGACTAAGCGTTGAGTGACCTCAATGCGAAGGGTAACAAGGTTACTTCAAATGGTTCTGTTGGTGATGTTGGCCAGGTCTGGATCATTGGTTTGAACTATCACCACCCAAACCCAAGTTATATCAAATTATCCATGGCCGCACAGGAGTACGCCCATGGGACTGCTCATGGTTTGCATCTGAATTCGTCCAGAAAATGGGGGTCATACTCCACAACGGATCAACTTTTTTTTTCCTGGTGGGGAAAGAAAGTGAGGTTTTGACATGTGAAACCCTGCCATGTTTTGTTCCCCCAAAATTTTCACCAAATCTGGACGGATGGGTTTGCAATACCTGCGCCGCCGCGCCAAGATCAAGCCCCGAAGCCTGTTTGGTGACCCAGTGGTGGCGCTGGTGCTGTCTACTGTAGAGCCCAGAATTTGGTGGAATCAATAGGGTTATTCTTGTGATAGTGATGAAAATATGGGGTTTGTTCTTAAAATCTTTGAAATGAATTAAGATTGGGGAGACCCAAAACCATGGGTTTCAGGACTAAAATGGTTTAAATTAAATAAATTTGAAAGTACCACCCAATTTTAGGAAACCTCCAGGTAGAGACATGTAAGAAAAAAACAGACTAGGTATATTTATAGGATAGAAAAATCATGAATTCAACAAATTTTTTCCAACTCATATATTCCCGCAACTTTACACATGCTCAGACATTCAGTTTCGCCAAACATGTCATTGTATTGGCAATTCGCATGACAGGACATGTGCCCATTCAACTTTGGAGGCATTTAGTGTATGTATAGATATAGATAGATATAGATAGATGTAAAACGGATATAGTTATATATTTGATAGATGCACATGGATATAGTAGAGAATCATAGAGAATCTATACATAGATATGGATATATATATATATAATCTACCCCGCCCACATAGAATATAGAATTGAAATTTTGGCTTCCCAGGGCATCCCCATAATTGAACTTGAAAACAGTTACTTAGAATACAGTTGACGTCACATAGAATATCGTTGGGCCATATAAATTCTTTCACTTTTCCAGACGAATTCGTCATTTTTCCATAGAAGTTCTTCACTTTTCTTTATAAATCCTTCACGTTTCCATACAAATTCTTCACTTTTCCATATTTTTGCCATACAAATTCTTTCACTTGTTCAGTCAAATTCATCATTTTTCCATATATATATATATTTCTTAATAAATCCTTCACATTTCTATACAAATTCTTCACCTTTGCATATTTTTTCCATATAACTTCTTTCATGTTTCCAGACAAATTCATGATTTTTCCATATAAATTCTTCACTTTCCTATAACAATTCTGCACGTTTCCATACAAATTCTTCAGTTTACCATATTTTGCCATACAGATTCTTTTCCATATAAATTATTTTCCCTTTTCAGTCAAATTCTTCACTTTTTCCATACGCGTTTCTTCATTTTCTCCATAAATCCTTCACATTTCCATAAATCCCGACACCGGTCGTGGGGGATACCCTTCGGTGAGCTTGAAAAAATATTTTTTTAATTCAATATAAAAAAAAAGATCATTTCGGGGGATCTGTTTTTTTGTTGAAACGTTCCAGTTTAGGAACTTCAGATATCCAGGATTGCTTCTACCCAAAGGAAATTACGTATATAATAATTATACATGAAGGGGACCCTATTGCTTGCAAAACTACATACATAGAAGATAGGTCCCCAGTGAAAATATTCATCACTTTTTGAAGGAATGCCACCTAATTCCATTAGTTTTCATTGCAAACTAGTTTTTTATTATTTTTTTCATAGTTCTCCGACACCGTTCGTGGGGGGTACCCTTCGGTGAGCTTGAAAAACTCATTTTTTTAATACAATATAAAAAGAAATTGATCATTTCGGGGGACCTGTTTTTTTGTTGAAACGTTCCAGTTTGGGAACTTCAGATATCCAGGATTGCTGCTACCCAAAGGGAATTACGTATATAATAATTATACATGAAGGGGACCCTATTGCTTGCAAAACTACATACATAGAATATAGGTCCCCAGTGAAAAATATTCATCACTTTTTGAAGGAATGCCACCTAATTCCATTAGTTTTCATTGCAAACTAGTTTTTTATTATTTTTTTCATAGTTCTCCGACACCGTTCGTGGGGGGTACCCTTTGGTGAGCTTGAAAAATTCATTTTTTTAATACAATATAAAAAGAAATTGATCATTTCGGGGGACCTGTTTTTTTGTTGAAACGTTCCAGTTTAGGAACTTCAGATATCCAGGATTGCTTCTACCCAAAGGGACTTACGTATATAATAATTATTCATGAAGGGGCCCTTTTCCTTGCAAAACTACATACATAGAATATAGGTCCCCAGTGAAAATATTCATCATTTTTTAAAGGAATGCCACCTAATTCCATTAGTTTTCATTGCAAACTAGTTTTTTTCATAGTTCTCCCCGTGGGGGGTACCCTTCGGTGAGCTTGAAAAACTCATTTTTTTAATACAATATAAAAAGAAATTGATCATTTCGGGGGACCTGTTTTTTTGTTGAAACGTTCCAGTTTAGGAACTTCAGATATCCAGGATTGCTTCTACCCAAAGGGACTTACGTATATAATAATTATTCATGAAGGGGCCCTTTTCCTTGCAAAACTACATACATAGAATATAGGTCCCCAGTGAAAATATTCATCATTTTTTAAAGGAATGCCACCTAATTCCATTAGTTTTCATTGCAAACTAGTTTTTTTCATAGTTCTCCCCGTGGGGGGTACCCTTCGGTGAGCTTGAAAAACTCATTTTTTTAATACAATATGAAAGGAAATTGATCATTTCGGGGGAGCTGTTTTTGTGTTGAAACGTTCTAGTTTAGGAACTTCAGACATCCAGGATTGCTGCTCCCCAAAGGGAATTACGTATATGATATATATTGATATATACCCTTATATTTTTACATGGAAGATACCCCATTCCTTGCAGAACTACATACATAGAATATAGGTCCCCAGTGAAAATATTCATCATTTTTTGAAGGAATGCCACCTAATTCCATTAGTTTTCATTGCAAACTAGTTTTTTTCATAGTTCTCCGACACCGTTCGTGGGGGGTACCCTTCGGTGAGCTTGAAAAACTCATTTTTTTAATACAATATAAAAGAAATTGATCATTTCGGGGGACCTGTTTTTTTGTTGAAACGTTCCAGTTTGGAACTTCAGATATCCAGGATTGCTGCTACCCAAAGGGAATTACGTATATAATAATTATACATGAAGGGGACCCTATTCCTTGCAAAACTACATACATAGAATATAGGTCCCCAGTGAAAATATTCATCACTTTTTGAAGGAATGCCACCTAATTCCATTAGTTTTCATTGCAAACTAGTTTTTTATTATTTTTTTCATAGTTCTCCGACACCGGTCGTGGGGGGTACCCTTCGGTGAGCTTGAAAAACTCATTTTTTTAATACAATATGAAAAGAAATTGATCATTTCGGGGGACCTGTTTTTTTGTTGAAACGTTCCAGTTTAGGAACTTCAGATATCCAGGATTGCTTCTACCCAAAGGGAATTACGTATATAATAATTATTCATGAAGGGGACCCTATTCCTTGCAAAACTACATACATAGAATATAGGTCCCCAGTGAAAATATTCATCATTTTTTGAAGGAATGCCACCTAATTCCATTAGTTTTCATTGCAAACTAGTTTTTTTCATAGTTCTCCGACACCGGTCGTGGGGGGTACCCTTCGGTGAGCTTGAAAAACTCATTTTTTTAATACAATATAAAAAGAAATTGATCATTTCGGGGGACCTGTTTTTTTGTTGAAACGTTCCAGTTTAGGAACTTCAGATATCCAGGATTGCTTCTACCCAAAGGGACTTACGTATATAATAATTATTCATGAAGGGGCCCTTTTCCTTGCAAAACTACATACATAGAATATAGGTCCCCAGTGAAAATATTCATCATTTTTTAAAGGAATGCCACCTAATTCCATTAGTTTTCATTGCAAACTAGTTTTTTTCATAGTTCTCCCCGTGGGGGGTACCCTTCGGTGAGCTTGAAAAACTCATTTTTTTAACACAATATGAAAAGAAATTGATCATTTCGGGGGAGCTGTTTTTGTTGAAACGTTCTAGTTTACGGACTTCAGACATCCAGGATTGCTGCTCCCCAAAGGGAATTACGTATATAATAATCATTCATGAAGGGGGCCCTATTCCTTGCACTTACCTAACCTAGGCCATTTCCCATGGATCTCCACCATTCATGGGGGGACCCTTTGCGGTAGAAAAAAATCTACTTTTCAGAACACCAAGTAATAAAAAATCAATCAATTTGGGGGCACTGCCAGTTTTTGATTTTTGTCACCAAACATATTGTGAAAAACATCCCTATCTATTTCCCGCCCTCTTTTGTTTTTTTCCTCATCCTACTAGCTTGCTTTCCTGATCACGATTTCAAAGGGGGAACCTCCCCTTTATTCCATATTCTATGTGGGTGGAGCTTGCTATATATATATATATATGCCTACATGTTTATAAATACATATTATTTATATATATATAGTGTGCCCTAGTCACAACAACTCCAGTGGTGGGGCTCGCACTGTCTGAGGAAGCAGCGCAGTCCCTCTGTAATATGTTACCATCCATTTTGGAAGTCCAACAGCCATATTCTCGAATGGTTTTTCCAAAAATGTTCCTTAGCTGCAACTCTAATGGCTTGGGGTCATATTCTTGATTCGATTTGCGAGGTATCCAGCATTTCTGCGCACACCTAATTTCAAACAGGCTGCAGAAACCCACACATAGCATCTCAGCATCTCATCTGTTTTCAAGTCAAATCAGAATCATGTGGCCCTGCAGCTGCTTTGAGTGTCCAAAACTAGTCACGTTGTTCAGTAAGAACGGCTTGCCAACACGCAGCCGTGGGGATGGCAACGGATGTTGAGCAAATTATCCAAAGGGTGATGCAGGGGCATTCCCGTGGTGATTTGTATTCCGTTGTGGGCGTGGCACCATCGATCGGTGACAGTGACGTCCATCCGGATGACAGGATGAGGGCCTTTATGGTCGTGCGCTCCTTGCCTTTGCAGGCACCTAATCCCTAAAAAGTAACTTATTTTTTCGTCGAACTAGCGTTCATTTCTCGAATCAACTTCCCAAAACCTTTACATAGAATATGGGGCTTGGATGGCCTTGTCCGAGCGTGGTTTTATTTATTTTGGCACACACCATTGGGTGGCATATACATAGAATATTGGTTGGGGAAGCTTTGTTTATGATTCTGAGGGGGGCATACACCTTTTTTTCGGCAAACATCAGACTACTTAGGCAATCAAAGCGGCCTACAAGGCAACCTGCCGGGTTATTCATCCAGACAAGAGTCCGCACCCAGAAGCAAACCAAGCGCAAACCCTTTTGAACCAGGCAATGACCACATTAGAGTCTCCCATTGCCAGGTCTGAGTTCAATCGGGTATTTCAAGCCAAGTTGGAAAAGTCTGCTGTTGAATATGAGAAGAAGAAAAAAATCGCCAAAATCACAGCCAGTATTTCGAAAGCGGCAGCCCCTGCCCTTGCAAAGGCCAAAAAGAAAGAAGCATCAGCTGACAGCACAAAAGCAGCAGGCGCAGACAAGCAACCGAAAACAGATGCAAGCAAGAGCTCTTCGAGCTCTTCTGGGCAGAAGCCAAATGAAAGTCCAGCTCCGAGCAAGGCATCTGTTGAGCAGGAATCGAATGAAATCAAGACAAGCAAGACAGATGGGACAAACACAGATCCAGCCAAGGGGTTGAAATTCTGGGATGTGGCGGGGTATCAGTTGAGGCCCTTCAAAATGTGGATATCAGTTAGAATCGATTCTTCGTCAGCCAGGAAGTTCCCATACAAGGAGTGGCACAACGCAGATGTCGCAAAGCGTGTTGCCACGCAGTTTGCCAAACAGTGCCACAGGAGACTTCTTGAGTTCAAGTTTGCAAAGAACAAGAAGGAAAAGATTGGCTATATGAATGAGATTGGCATCAAATCGATGACTGGCAAAGAAACCGTTTCTGATTTGCAGACGCTTTTGGAACAGGCCATCCATAGGGTAGTCAAAAGACATCTCCAAAAACATGAGGGGTCACATCAAGGTGGAAGGATATATACATAGAATATCCCCCATCGAAGGTTGGATGGGTTGATAGTTGACATGTTCTGTTCTACCAACATCCCGGCAAGAAACCACGGGGGCACACGGGCTGCAGAACATCATACATAGAATATTTAACAGGTGGGCTGTTTTCTTGAAACGAATGTGATTCTCCTTGCAGGCCCTTGTTCTGGGGAAGGTGAACCCGGTTGAAGAACACCTTCGTTCCGTATTCAAAACGGAAATCGGTGCGAATACTGTGGACGCAGGAGATTCCATCAAGGAGGGTATCACCTTTAACCATCACAAAGGTGTCTTCCAAGCAGCTTTGAAGATTGATGACCAGGATGGGTGTTTTGTCAAATCAGGCTCTCAATGTTCAAGTAGCGAAAAAAACTTAAAATTGCAGAATATACATATAGGTTTCTGTTATTGTTGTGTTTTGTTGGGATCAAGTGGCTCAGACTGTGACCCTGTAGCCAGGCATTCGTCAAAGAATTTCCGATCAAACAAGATGCCGAACATTGGCTAGACATCCTACAGTCGTTGAACAATAAGAAACTTCTCAAGGGGCAAGCTGATCTTATGAAGGCGGCCGCGGCGAACCGAAAGGCCACACAGGAGGCACATGACAAGATTCTCGCGGCAAAGAAGGTGTTTGTACCTGAAGAGAACCCAGCATTCCAGCAAAAACCTTCTGATGGTAAGGATATCTGGGCAGACATGTTCACAAAGTATGAGGAACCACCAAAATCAGAACTCCCGGGTTCCTCCGTCCGTTTGCCCCAAGTGTGCCTGGAGAAGATGAAAGTAATAGGCTTCGAGGCTTCGCAGGTGGTTGGTGAGCTTTGGGGATGGCAGCACAAGACTTTGGGTTGGCGTGTCAACCTCATTTGCACCCACGATGGCAGTGCTGGGAAAGCTTTTGATGACATTCCGGATCAGGGTCCTGAAAGCTTGACCCACCTTGGGTTTATCCGCTGTGGAATGGATGGCCCAGAGTTGACAGAGGCTGACAAAACGAAGCTGCGGTCAATGGCTCACGGACAACCTGTGATCGCAGTTGTGGTCACCTATCCTGCCCCTCAACTTGTTTGGCTTTGGGACACCAACATCAACTGTATGAATATTCTACGTGCAATGTCATACAGGGTTTTACCATATGAGATGTAAGACCGCGTTTTCCTGCTTCCAATATTCTATGTGGTGCGTGTCCCACTGTGAGTGGGCAACAACCATCAGTTTTCAAACGAGAAATTATAGGTGTATGTTTTCGCCAAGTGGAAAATAGGTATAGTAAAAAACTAGGCTTTTCAAGGTTCCCCGATATTCTATGTAATATATTCTCGTATATTGGGGTATGTTTTGACAATTTTTTATTGGGGCTGCCACCAGCATTGGTACCCAAATGCGTAGAGATTTGAAACATCCAATCAGGTCAAGGTTGGCAAAGCTCGAGCCTGGGAATATCTTGACACTGGATCTTCATCTTCAGTCGCGCCTGGTGGGTGTTTCAAAGAAGTTGAAATTCAATGCATACCGAGGAGGGTGCAAGGGGAAAGTTTTAACGTCAGGCCCCTGGATCATGATTCACAGACTGTGGCTTCGAGGATGGTTGGTGCCTTCGACCAAATATTCGTCCGGACCCAAAGAGAACGAGAAGAACCAGACGTGCCAACTGCTGGCTTCAAGCCGGTTCCAGTGCTGGCTGATGGTTTTTGCTTTTGGCATTGCTTCTTGCGAGCCTCCCTTCCTGAGGACTACAGCCCTTATGAACGGACTACCTCTGGAGGCCCAAGATCAAAGCCACGTTTGGCTAGAGAAATCGAGCTTGCGAAGGTCGCTCGGGAAGAATTCCTCCTCTTGTATGCCAAGCAGCCCAATTTTGATGAGGTTCTTTTGGAGAGCTTGCAGGAGAACCCCCAAGTCCCCATCGACTACGTTCAGACAATTTGTCTGACCAGTGGCGTTTCTGTGCGTATCACGCTCAGCCAAGAGGCCAGCTTGTGGGAACCCAACATGTTTCATTCCCTGCTAAACCACATACTTAGAATATACGACTGAGGTTCTCAGGAAGAAATTGTAACTCCCTGATCAGGTTGCTGATCAATGTCCTGATTTCCCTAGAGATGCTGTCTATGGGACTCGCTGCAAGCCCATTGGCCACTTCTACTTCTCATGGCTGACTGATCCGGGGAGTGGAAAACGAAATGCTGGCCACTATGAAATGCTTCTACCGACAGAATCCAGTTTGAGCATGAGGCTTCCAAATCATGTGAAACATTTTCTCGATGTTTCGCAAAATGCTGGCCAAATTCTTGCCAAACAAGATGTGGCTTCACCCAAGGACACCGAGAGCACGAAGGAGTTTCAGTTGAGAAATTGTGTCAAGCTGTCACTTATATGTGATGGCTAGAATGTGTTTGTTTCACGACGGGTTCATTTCATCTCGACAAGCTTTCAGGTCACCATTCATGCATTCTATCTGACATCTTCTCTAACATAGAAACATGCGTATGAACACATTGAAGCACATATTCTAAGTTCAAAAGCCCATTGAAGCACATGTTCAAATTTGAAAAAAATGATTTTTTTTTTTTAAAATAAAATGTTCATTCCAATACCTTTGAAAATGATCCACTGAATGTTTTAGAACTGATTGTGGACATAATTTATGGATAGAAATTAGTTTTTTGAACATATTTTGACAAAAATATATTTTTTTTTAAAATAATAAAATGTTCATTCCAATACCTTTGAAAATGATCCACTGAATGTTTTAGAACTGATTGTGGACATAATTTATGGATAGAAATTAGTTTTTTGAACATATTTTGACAAAAATATATTTTTTTTAAAAAAAATAATTTTCATTCCAATACCCTTAAAATGAACCACTGAATGTTTTAAACCTGATTGTGGACATATTCTATGGATAGAAATGTCATTTTTCAACAAATTTTGACCCAAAAAAAATCGAAAAAAAAAATAAATGTTCATTCCAATACCTTTGAACTGATCCACTGAATGTTTTGGAACTGATTGTGGATATAATTTATTGAAAGAAGTCTACTTTTTAAAAAGTATTGAAATTTATAAAAGTGACATTTCTCATTTTGCATCACTTTCCCGTTGTTATTCTCCCGTTGTGTCTCCCCGTTGGACCAGCCCGTTGTTCAGGCCATCTGCCCGGAGCCAGCTCTGCACAATAAGGAGCAGGAAATGGGGAGACACAACGGGAGAATAACAACGGGAAAGTGATGCAAAATGAGAAATGTCACTTTTATAAATTTCAATACTTTTTAAAAAGTAGACTTCTTTCAATAAATTATATCCACAATCAGTTCCAAAACATTCAGTGGATCAGTTCAAAGGTATTGGAATGAACATTTATTTATTTTTTTCGATTTTTTTTGGGTCAAAATTTGTTGAAAAATGACATTTCTATCCATAGAATATGTCCACAATCAGGTTTAAAACATTCAGTGGTTCATTTTAAGGGTATTGGAATGAAAATTATTATTTTTTAAAAAAAATATTTTTGTCAAAATATGTTCAAAAAACTAATTTCTATCCATAAATTATGTCCACAATCAGTTCTAAAACATTCAGTGGATCATTTTCAAAGGTATTGGAATGAACATTTTATTTTTTTAAAAAAAAATCATTTTTTTCAAATTTGAACATGTGCTTCAATGGGCTTTTTAACTTAGAATATGTGATTGTGACATGCCGCCTTTGTGTCCTTGATCCCCCTGTTGTGTCTCTCTGTTGGACCTGCTGCCCTAATCTGACATATTATCTGACATGATTTCTGACATTCTATCTCACACACCAATACCTTGTGAGATTAGATTTCATCAGTTTCCCACCTCTTTGACTTCATTTCAATCTTTAGGCCGGTCTGTGATATGCAATGAATAGAAGATCCGAAATCTAAACAACGAGTTGCCCCTGACCAGGATGGGCAATCGTTTGTGACACCGGACGCTCCAAGTGATTCGACCTCTACCCCAGAACATGGAAAAGACGGAGTCCTGTCGGCAAGTGCTTCTAGCGACAGCCAAGGCATCCAAATGAGCTTTGCATCGCCGCCACAGCCACAGCCGAGCCCAGCAGAGTCTACCACGGAGGCTGCGAACAGTGCACGGTCATATCCAGAGGTGGACAGCATGGGGGACTCTGAGACTTCCCAACCTTTGGAAACAGTTTCTTGGATATTCCATGCGTTTTGAATCCAAACCTTTTTTCCCTTCAAGCACCTATGTTGAAAAGTCATGCAAGCTCATATGGGTGTAACCCGTCCTCACTACATACTTCGGAAGCTGCCAGCAACAATGGAAGCTAGTCAGACCATATTAAATCATATTCTATGTTTAGTTTCTGGGAGCAAATTTGTTGCTGCAGGCTTCAACTGGGACTGCCATGCGCACAGAGAAGCCAACACTTGCCCGGTTGCAAGAGGTGACCAAGGTTCTGCTTGTTCATGGGAAGTGGCAGGATCTCATTTACCAGGGTCTAAAGACTTGGGAGCTCAGACGCTAGCCTGATATTGAACATGCGTCTTTTGTTTTAGCTGGGAGGGCCCAATGTTTCCCATCGCTGTTCCCTTTGTTGGAAACCATCGACCACTCTGAATGTTTTATCAGCACATAGACATGGAGACAAACAAAATATCACAATATTCTATGTATATATACATGGCACCTGCCATAGTAAAACTAGTTGCGTGGCTATTTATTACAATTGGAGATGGTATCCATTGAACCCCGGTCTTGTTTCACTCCCTTTACTTTGAGCTCAGGAAACAGTCCGTGGTCCTTTACTGGACTTCTTGGATTGTGTCATGAGGGCAAGCTTCTGGGCATGGTGCGGATGACAGGATGTCATCTGATCGCCCTTCGCACTGACGAACTGGAGTGGGAACCGTATGAGATATCGGAAAGAGCAGCCTCTGTATTCCCCTTTTCAGAGGAAAGCCAGGCAAAGCATCAGGTCTCCACAGATGTTCTTTCAGTGCTGGCCTCATCTTGGAAACGAATGTACGCGTGGTTCCTTGAAGACCCCATCAAGTTTAGTCAGCCAGTGCCAATTAAAATGAAGAAAGGGGTGCAAAAGATCCAGTCCATGGATGCAGACATGTGGGCAATAGCTTGGCAAGATTTTTGCCAAGAACAACCCGAAAAGCCACTTCCAGCTCCAGGCCTTCCTGATAGCCTTACACTTCTGGGAATGGCAGTGAAAGATGCATTTCACCTGTTGGAGGGGGACGCAAACATGATCTTGAAGGGTTACAAGCCTGACATTGACGCCCCCTCTCTGATCCATGTCACAGTGATGAATGGAGGCACTGCATTCATTGTGGGTTCCTTTCTGCTCCGCCTAGTGCGCAAATTCACCACTATGGCCCAGTTCCGGAAAATAGAGACGGAAGGTGACATGATCTGGCGGAATCTCGATGCACGGCAGCAGAAACAACTTGAAGCGGGCGAGTCCAAGACCATGTATGCTTGGGTCATCGAGAACAAAGAGGTCCTCCACCCCCCAATGACATGGAAGACGGAGCCTTGAATAGTGCCAGCTATATTTTCAATTTTGTGGCTTGATTTTTTGAAAGGAGTTCTTTGTGATGGCTTCCATGTGGGACCATTATTTGATTATAGTTGAGGCACAATTTCAGTTTCAGTGACCACAACAAAATACAATATATTCTTATTCTACGGTATTCTAAGTATGTCCTACTGCAACCTAAAGCATGGATTGGTGCCGAACATTGTGCCTGCCACACTGGCGCATGACTGCAAGGACCGAAGAAATTTGCCGAAGATCTGCTACATTGAGCGGGACGAGATCTTGAATGATGGGCAGCTTCGTGGAAATCAGCCATACGCATGCGCACGCGCATACACATATGCATGCATAAGCATGTCTACTTGTTTTTCGTGAATCTGCATTTTGAACAAGAACCCTTGGAATGCCTTTTAAACGGCCAATAACTTATCTAGAAATTGCAGTTTCCCTGCGTGGTGGTGTTCCAAGAACATATACTTAGAATATTTTGCTTGGTTCCCTGTGCCCTTGTTTTTCCAAGGCAACCAGTCAAATCGACGTGGCACAAGGGATCTTTGCCAAGCATGTCTTTGGTTTCCATTGCGCACCACTTCTTGGATCGGCTCACAGTTCCGGAGTTTGAAAGGCTCAGGGCCATCGCAACTGGGCTCAGTGGGATGACAGTGCCAGTTGGATCCACATGCAGCGGACTGGCAACCACAGGACTTTGTGTGAAAGCGCTTTTCCAAGCCATCAACCAGCGCTTCAACACGAATTGCCAAGCTTCATGTGAGTTTGCTGTGGAGAACAGCCCCCCAAAGCAGCGATTTATCCTGGGCGCGCATGGTGACGAAATCAAGCATTTGTTCGCAGATGTGAGTTGCTTCGAAAAAGATGAAGCCTTCTGTCTCAAGGAAGGAAAATCGGTGAAAATTCCCACTGTGTTTCTGTTGGTGGCCAGCCCCTCATGCGTCAACCTGTCTGGGCAACGCTCGGACAGGGCTGAGTTCGCTTCTTGCTACCAAGACGATTCATCTGCATCTGCATCAGGCCATACATATCAGTTCGGCTACAGGAAGGCTACGCAAAGAACCGAGGCAGAGGTGACCATATACGAAAACGTGAGGGATGCTGCCCATTCTCTCAAAGATTCGGATGGGAAAACCTGCACACCCGCAGTAGACATCATTCGTGATGAGACTCGGTCTTGATTTTTGCTGCGTTCTATATGTGCTTAGTCAGGCCCCAGAAAATGTCATTTGGGCTTGGGGCATCTATACATAGAATATCCAACATTCTATTTTCTAATCTCTTCTCACTATCACTAAGACTCCTCCAAATAAAAAGAAATGGATTGGCGATTTCATTTTTGATGGGTTACAATTGCGTTCTTAATTGCAGTAATTGACTGTGAAATAATGGTTTGTACCGCCTATAGATAAAAGTGGGATCATGCCTGATGTTTTCGGAAAAAGGGTCCTACACATGCATTGACTTTGGCAGGCTTCGGTGTGCATGTATCATCTTGAAGTGAGCCAATGAATGTCATCATTTTGGCTCAAGTGGAGTTGAACCAAAATAGCATCCATTGTTTTTCTTTCCCCACCCACCCAACCCTGAGAGCCAGCCTCCCGTGAGAAGCCCGCCTAGGAGAGGGTGCCTGCTAGGCAGGCGAGTGCATAGCCTCTTTTTGGGGATACTTTCCTGGGGGGACAGTACTTACCTTCCTTGTTAGGACGTGGGCGATACCTGCAAAGGCAGGTTCCAGCCTGGGGTGACCAGGCAGCTTTGACCAGATGGCTATACTGGTCTGAGGCTATGCGCATGTCACTAGAGTAGTAGGAAGAATCATGTTGTCACTTTGAGATGTAATTATTTCCTGTGGTTTACCTCAATATGCAAATTTTACAAATTTAGCTTGCCCCACCTATACTTAGAATATCTAAGAATCCATAACTGTGAAGTTTATTTGTGTTCCATCATGGGGGATTCCGCCTATTTCCCATGATCCAATCATCTTTACTACATAGTCCATGGTACTTCTTGCTGCCTCGCCCACATGAGGATTTCAGGGAGATTGGCCACACGTTCGAACACACCAAAGTGGACAGCTGCCATCTGCTGATGCCGCAGCGGCGGGAGTGGGTATGGGGATCAAGCTGTACTGGAGCGCATGACACGCAATACCCCCTTGACATGAAGATCACGATGCAGAGATTGAAGGGCCCCAAGCGCTTTACTCTTGGAGATGTCTTGCTGGATGATCTTCCCACATGTGACCCGCCAGTAAGTGATTCATTCCAATGTCAGCTCGAGAAAGTGAAGAACATTTGTCAGGAGCGAAAAATTGATTTCTCAACAGTGACCATGGACTCCAGCACGAGCCGGCGCCGGTCCCCCGAGTACGCATGCGACATGTTTACCTGCATCCGCCCCAGCCACAGAATCTGGCTATGTGGGCACAATCGCTTTGCCGAACCACAAGAACTTCTTCGGGCTCATGGTGTTTTTGCTGAAGAATTTCATGTCCCCAAAGCCGTTTTGGATTTGGAACCACATTTGGCGGCTGACTTTGCTGGGAATGCGTTCTCTACTAGCGCCCTCATTGCCAAGATCCTATGCACCATGGTCAATGGATTTCCGTGGAAAAGACTGGCCAACAAAGTGTCTTTGTCCCGCAGTGGTGTTCTCAATGAATGTGCTCGCAGAGCTGCCAAGAGGGCCAATGAACAAGGGCCCTCGGAGCCACCAGTGGAACCCCCATCCAAAAAAAGTAAAAAACAGGGAAGAAAGTCTTCGAAGCCTTCACGAAAGCGTGCGCAACCAGCCGGGGAGCCAGAAAGTGATCCAAAAAAGGCCAAAACTGACAAGAACAATCAGCTCAGGGGGCAGAATTTCAAGGGTGCCTTACTCACCATCAGCAAAAAAATGGAGATTCTGAAGCGCTATCAAGAGCTGGCAGAGACAACCAAGCATCCTGAGAAGGCTTGGTTCGGGTTGAGGTTTGTGGAATACCTACTTCCCGACAAAAACGGTTTCTTTCTTCACAGAACAACATGCCGACATTGTTTGGATGAATATTCTATGTATATGCACCGCCAGCCCAACGGTAAGTCTGACACTTTCGTATCTCTGGCTTTGGTAGGTGAAGCATATACCAGGAGAATAGATATGATATATTCTATGTGTTGGTTCGCGAACCCACTATACCATCTTTGCGGGGAAAGATCACCTTCCCAGAATGCCAGAATTTGAGCTAATCCCGAACATGAAGACATCCCAGGGTATGAGATATTCTATGTATGGGTTTCCCCTAAAAGAGGCCCCCTAAACTGGGATCTAAAGTGGGCCTCTGAGATTAATACCCTGAAAGGCCCTTCTTGCACTCAAGATTCCTGGATGCTATCAAGGAGCAGTATCAAAGTGGAGAAAGAGCTGCCAAGCTTACAAGTGGGATGTGATCATGGAAAAGTGTCCCGCTATCGCTGCGAAGATCGATGAAGTTCCAAACTGGTTGCGTGAACGTTTGAACATCCACACCTCAAAGGGGTACCACAGCAAGATTCCAAAGGAGGTTACCGACATTGCTGACAGCATCTTGCAACATGCAACAAAACAGGGCTACGAGTTGAACATGATCAGTGTGGAGCAGTTGATTGACGACTGCGTCAGTGCATACAACGCTGAGGTCTCCAAGCGGCGTGCTGCTCATGAGGATGCCGATCTGCAAGCTTTGGACAATCTAGTTGCAGCCGGTGCTTCAGAGGAGGAGATTGAACGGCTCAAGAACCTGCAGAACGCCCATCGGGCTTCCTGGCCCTGTGAGATCAAATTTTCCTCTGGCATGCGTGGAAAGCAGTATCAGGCCGCAAAATTCTGCGACACTTATGGCTACAGCCTGTTCACTCAGGACAAGCCCACGAGACATTTGCCCAGAGAGCATCCTCACGTACAGCATGTCAACGATTTCATTCTAATGAACATCCAGGAGGGGAAGGTCAACAGCAAGCTTGTCTGCAATTTCGACCAAGTTTGGTCTTGCTTGTACGAGCCGATGCGAAAGACATTGTGGAAAAAGAATGAGCATGGCCAGAAGGATAGCTTGTCCAAGTTTCCGGCTCGCCAGAAAATTCGTGCTACTTTGCAGGAACATTTCGGGCAAACGATAAGTCTGCCCCTCGCTGAGCGGAACGCCAAGTGGAAGGTGCGGCTGGCCGACATTGAGGGCTATGGTGGAGCCAACACTGTGAACTATTGGAGGTGTGGGATTCCAATCCATGTGATGCAACTGCTTTCAGAACCATATTCTATGTATGTTTGTTGAACAGTATTGGGATTCTAAGCATCTTGAGGTACTTTCATATTGTGTTAGGTGGCTGGGGATGGCTGCTTAATATCAGCCTGGATTAATAACCTGTAGGCTGTTTAATTGGTGGGTATTTATTGTAAATATTTGACTATGACTATTGGAGGAGTACCCACCTGATCTATACCATGGGTCAAATTATGATTCTTTTCCTGCGAGGTCGCCTCGCACGACGACCACAGTTTCGTGGATCACCGGGGAGATGGGATGCGCATTCGTCACGGTTCCCGATGGATATATATATCTGCTGAGGACATGGCCAAGTTGAACAAAGAGCATCAAGGCATCCTCCATATTGAATCTTCTGGATCGGATTCTCATATGTGGAGTGGGGCAACCACAGTCAAGTTCCTGGATCTACTCACGACGGAACTCCGAAAGCAACGACGTGCCATTGGTTGCTTGGACAACAGCGAGAGAGCAATGGTGATTTGCGACAAATGCACCAGCCACCTCAGCCGCACCTATCTGGATCTTCGCAAGCAGTGGGCCCAAGAGCAGAACGTATTGCTAGTTGGGGCAGACCCAGACAGTGACGTTCAAATTCCAGGTGGGGCCAAGCCTACAGCATGTACCCAAAAAAACAATTTACTCGTAAAAAAGATATTTACCCATGTTTAGGAGCTGGAGGGTCTATAGAAAGGGAAATAGATTCTCACAATTTTTCTTTTTGGTCCCTATAGGTGGTTGGGGACTGTCTTCATCACCGAATGACGGATGGCACGGTCACTGGCATTTGCTGCGATCGGCCTATCTTCGATGTGCGTTGAAGATGCCCATGAACCCATTGCTTCAGCAGGAGGTGCGGGCCTCCCCTTCACACCATACATAGAATATGAAGCTAGAAGGGGCTTTACTTCATCAAACAAAAGAGTCGCATGATATCAATTGTTTGTCCAAAAATGCTCTTATTTTCGGATTTGGCCGATTCTGGGGGAAACCGCGCAGGGACATCTCTCCCTTGCAACTTTCAGTTCATAGAATATTGCAAGTGAACATTATCATGTGATTTTTTGGAACCATCGTTAGGGTATTAGTGGTTTTTGAGAACAAGGGCTACTTGCTATAATCTGCTTCTTGAAACAACATGTTAACATCAACTGTTCTTCCAAACATGTTCCTTGGGGATTTAACGCTGGGGAAACCACCGGGAGATCTCTCCCTTGCAAGATTTTATACATAGAATATGGCCAGTCAACAATATCAGATGGTTTTGGTGGAACAAACGTAGTGGTTTTCTAGACCAATGCCTACTTCCCAAGTATCAGCACATGAATCAATACTTACATCAACTGTTCTCCTGAATGTGCAATTTTGGAAGTAGCCAGTTCTGGGAAACCACAGGGCAACCCCCTTATATAACCTTCAGTACATAGAATGTTGCAACATACTTTGATCACTTGATTTTTCTGGTCCAATGGTTTGACATGGTTTGACATGGTTTGGCCATTGGTCAGGTGTCAGCGTATGACATTGGCCCAGGGGGCTTGCTTCCATCCATCTCTTGCCCTGTGGCAACCAGTATTGCAGCTGATGCTTTTGCCTTTCAAAAGTTGGGCGAACTGGCGAAGGGAAAGACGCTTTTGTGGGCATGGATGAGCCGTGGTTTTCTTTCCCCCAAGCTTGCAGCAGAATGGCTTTTCAACGGAGATGAAGAAGAATTACAAGAGCACATGCAACGTGTCAAGGGTTCTTATCGGGATCTGCTTGGCATGAGAGACATTCCTTCTCTCGACAAGAGACACTTGACATGCAAAGATGAGTTCAGCAATATGTTAACAAGCTGGGTGCTCCAATACATAGATTGTTGAACGTAGTTGATATTTCAATTACTTTGTCAAAATTAAATCATACATTGATATACAAGCATCCACAAGCACATAGAAAGTACCAGAATTCAATTCAAGAAGCCCCAAATGGAATTACACACGCACATATATACATATATACCCTTACACATGTAAGAGATTCATTTCCTTGCAGCACCACTTACATAGAATATAGGTCCCACTGGGAAGATTCAACCATTTTTTGAGGAACACCACCAAATTCCATTTGTTTTGTTGGGATTTACTCTCTTATAAGTAAACTTAACCCTAGAAAACGAATAAGTGCAAAACTATTTGGTAAATTAACATACACCCTGGCAGATAGGGGTTGAAAGATTAGTTTCCACTATAAATTGGATGTTTTGAGGGTCTATGTCACTCTGCCCCGCAGGTCAGGTCCGACAGGAGGTTGCGCAGGGTTCTGGAGGTCAGGTCCGACAGGAGGTTGCGCAGGCTTCTGTGGTAGGCGCGGCAAGTGACGTGGCAGGCCACACAGGTCAGGTCCGTCAGGAGGTTGCGCAGGGCATGGAGGTCAGGTCCGTCAGGAGGTTGCGCAGGCTTCTGTGGTAGGCGCGGCAAGTGACGTGGCAGGCCACACAGGTCAGGTCCGTCAGGAGGTTGCGCAGGGATTTGGAGGTCAGGTCCGTCAGGAGGTTGCTCAGGCTGTGGTAGGCGCGGCAGATGTGGCAGGTGCATCTGTGGTAGACGCAGGTCTATGTTAGCATAAAAATGGCTTGCAACCTGTTTTTTCATTGCTAACGTGTATGGTAAGGCTACCCCCTTAGGTCTATGTTAGTTTAGTGGTATTGCTTTTCTAGGGCTAAGTTTATTTATAAGAGAGTAGATTTTGTCATTGTTCTCCGACAACGGTTGGGGGGGGTACCCTTGTAGGTGAGCTTGAAAAAATCATTCCTTTATATCAAAAGCACACAGGAATTGATCATTTTGGGGTGCCTGTTTTTTTAGGAGTGTTGCAGTTCAGGAGCTTCAAACATCCAGGGTTGCCACCCCAGAGGGAATTACATATATACCCTTACACATGTAAGAGATTCATTTCCCTGCAGATCTACATACATAGAATATGTCCCAATGGGATCCAATGGGAAGATTCATCATCTTCTTGAGGAACACCGCCGAATGCAATTTGTTTTCATTGCAAAGTAGATTTTATCATTGTCCTATGTCAACGGTCGTGGGGGGTACCCTTAGGTGAGCTTGAAAAACTCATTCTTTATATCAGAAGTACAAAGAAATGGATCGTTTTGGGGGGCTTGCTCTTTCAAAGGAAAGTTCCAGTTCAGAAGCTTCAGACATCCAGGATTGCTACTTCTCAAAGGGAATTCCATTTATGTCATGATAGACCCTATTATATTTACATTCAGATTCATGTTGCATCACCACGTTTTCACAAAGTACGTAATATCCCAATCATCTCCCTGCAGCCCCACATACATAGAATATGGTACTTGTAGATGCTTACAATGATATTTATATGTATGTATATATGTATATATAACTTCGAGTTGGCCCTGCTCCCAGGTGCCTATCGGCTGGCATGGGAAAGGGCTGCCACGCCATTGAAAGGTGAATTAATCCATGCCTGGTACGTGAAGACTGAGTCCCCTGAACCTCTACAACTACCCCGATACTTCAACGTACCGTTGGAGTTGGCTATGTCGCAATGGATGGTTCTCAGGAAGAAGTGGGATGGCACGCTAGCCAAGAGGGCGTCGGAAGGAAAAACTTTGACCCCTGCATCTCAGAAGGCATACCAATCCTTCTTAGATGCCCCATACAGGAAAATCGTGATTGACACCAAGACCAAGACCTACATTCCTCGACCGTCAAATGCCACCGCTGCGACTTTGGAGAGTTGTCTGATCACGGAACTGAAAATGAGTCTTGACCCATCTCACCTCTCCTTGCGATTTGGCGATGGACCATTTTTTCACCTATTTGTGCGACAATTCGAAGTGACAGATGGGGAGGCAACACGTGTCCCAAAATGGTTGTTCTGCTGGCAACCCAACACATAGAATATAAGTCCAAATCTAAGAGTTTTTCTTAGGAATTATACAATGCAATATATTCTATGTAAAGAATAGCGGACCAATTCTGTATTTTTTGTTGGAAGCATTCACATGGCTCCTTTTCGGAAACCCTAATCGCCGCAGGTTCCGCCACTGACGGAGGTTCTTCCAAAGGATCTTTCAGCATCTGTGGGTGTGGATCCAGCCGAGGTGTCCGGGGAAGGGGAAGTTGAGAAAGATCTCGCGGCCGAGTTTTCAGACCAGGAGGATGAGTTTGGGGAAGGTATCGGCGAGAAGTTCGACGAGAAGTTCGATTGCCCAAAGGCCAAGTTTGCGAAGGGTGACTGTCACGATCTTGACTAGATGTGAGTTTGTTCGTGCTTCCCCCATCGAATCTGCATCTTGCCGACAAAATAGGTATCAGTTTCCAGGACGAAGAGCAAAATCAAATAGAACTAAAATAAATTGTTGTCAGATTTCACGAAGGCAGCACGACAGTCTCGGATCATGCAAGGCACATCTGACGTGCCGAAAAATCTAACACAGCTCAAGCAGTGGTGTTCCAAGTCCAATGTTTGGCCGAAATATGTGACCCAAACGTTTCTTCGTTGTATATGCTGACATTATGTTTGCATCAAATATCAGAAGTTTGAACCGGGTCGCATCTTGGGCCACCATGTAGCAAGCTCATGGACCAATGGATGTAGTTGAGCCGCATCCGTTCGTTTCAGCAGCAGTGCTTTTTCAGACCTTGTTTCTCAGCTGTTTCCGATTTTTTTTGGGGTTCCAGCTTGCTACCAATCCTGAATTTAAAAACTATCATATAGGCCTTTTTGTGAGGCCGACCCCGAGATAAGCCTGGGTGAATGTACAATTGCATGACTTGGTGGAAGTGGCAAACATATCCCTGACTAGAAAACATTCGGAGTCGGTTTGGTTCTTGTATTCTATGTATTGTGGTGCCACACGTTTCAAAGTTTACAGCTCATTTCTCCCAAGGCCCGGAATCCCAGGCATGAATTTGTTGATGGCGGCTGATGATGTCACAATGATTTGCAATATAACTTTACAGTTCGGGCTGTGGTGGATTGATCTTTTTGGCAAAGATTTATTTGCAGGTAATGCCAGCCGCAATGCATGAGTATGGAGAAGATGGAAGTATCACCGGGTTGTGTCACCGGGGAAACAAGAGACAATTACATGAGTGAGAAAGAAAATGGTTCCTGAAAACTGTCTCTGTTGGTCGGGCTATGTCGGGGTATATTCTATGTATGGTTGCTCAAGCTAGGGGCCCCCAAACCCTCAGTTGGGACTTGATCGGTTTTTTAAATGGGCAATTAGTCTCGCAAAGAAGTTAAGATTATATTCCAGGGGTTACCACAAAGTTAGTTGGGTATTTTGGATTAAGGATAATTTTGAAAGCTGTGTTTCTTGGCCGTGGTATATCCTATGTATGGTTATCTCAAAGCTAGGGGCCCCCAAACCATTAGTTGGGAATGGGTCGGCTTAAACGGGTGGCTAACTTTCAAAAAAGTTTAAGGTATATTCCAAGTGTTACCCAAAAATAGCTGGGTATTTCTGATTGGGGATAATTCTTGAAAGCTGTGTTTCTTGGTCGGGTTATATTCTATGTTTGGTGACCCCCAAGCTAAGGGGCCACCAACCATTAGTTTGGAATTGGTCGGGATTTAGGAATTTAAATGGTTAAACAGGTAGTTAGTGCCAAAGGAAATTGATGGTATATTCTAGGTGGTGCCCAAAAATTACCTGGTTGTTTGGATTGGGGATGATTCTTGAAAGTTGCCGAAGCAAGTTAAGGGGATATTCCAGGGGTTACCACAAAATTAGCTGGGCATTTGGACCGTGGATTATTCTTGAAAGCGGTGTTTCTTGGTCGATTCATATTCTATGTATGGTTGCCTCAAGCCAGGGGGTTCCAAACTATTAGTTTGGAATTGGTTGGCATTTAAATTGGTACTTAGTTCCAAGGAAATTAGGGGTAAAGTCCAGGTGGTACCCTAAATATAGCTTTGTAATTATTTTGGATTGGGGAGAATTGAGGTCAATTTTGTGGAGCAGTGGCAATTTCTATCTACAATTTATGGGAACCGGTAGTGGTTGTTCAATCATGCCCAAATCTTTTCACAAGGTAAACCAGTGGTTTGGGAGTAGTTGGCGGATATTCTATGTATTTGTGTTCCCATAGATCGTGGAAGTTGGTCAAACTATAGCGGACCCCATGCTTACTTGAAATCTGTATTGACAATGGTAGCCATGTGTCAAGATATCAAGAGGCTCTGGTTCCAAGCAGCATGCTTGGGAATATCACGATGTTTGATGCTATCATGGCCTACTGCGTAATTTGCGCGGTAAGGGACATCGGTTGTTTCGTCCGGGTTTGCACCAAGTTTCTGACGTCCAAGACAATCTGCAAGCCTGAGAAGCCTAGCTCAGTTCCAGTGTCCAATCTCGCCGGCAAGCACGATGGCAAGCCCAAGGGGGATGAAGGTGGATGCAGCTGGGATGGTGTCACAGAAGTTTATTCTCTACCTGGCCCTCGGCACAAGGTGCGGCATCCCCTGAACAAAATTTGTTCGATTTACAAGATTTGGGAAAAAACACAGCCCGGCAAAACAGGTCAATTTTCTTATTGCTGTCCAATTAAGGAATTGCTTTTTTGGCCGCCGCAAAGGGTGCCCCCCACAAGTGGTGCGCTTCCAATGGTTTTGGGTTAAAATTCGATTGTCAAAGATTTGAGAAAAATCTACCCCTTGAAACAGGTCAATTTTCTTATTACCGGTCAATTAAAGAATTGCCTTTTTGGCCGCCGCAAAGGGTGCCCCCCACAAGTGGTGCGCTTCCAATGGTTTTGGGTTAAAATTCGATTGTCAAAGATCTGAGAAAAATCTACCCCTTGAAACAGGTCAATTTTCTTATTACCGGTCAATTAAAGAATTGCTTTTTTGGCCGCCGCAAAGGGTGCCCCCCACAAGTGGCGCGCTTCCAATGGTTTTGGGTTAAAATTCGCTTGTCAAAGATTTGAGAAAAATCTACCCCTTGAAACAGGTCAATTTTCTTATTACCGGTCAATTAAAGAATTGCTTTTTTGGCCGCCGCAAAGGGTGCCCCCCACAAGTGGCGCGCTTCCAATGGTTTTGGGTTAAAATTCGATTGTCAAAGATTTGAGAAAAATCTACCCCTTGAAACAGGTCAATTTTCTTATTACCGGTCAATTAAAGAATTGCTTTTTTGGCCGCCGCAAAGGGTGCCCCCCACAAGTGGCGCGTTTCCAATGCAAGTCTTGGTTTTGGGTTAAAGCTCGCACCAGGTCCACCTATACAAGGATTGCCTGGGTGGCCGCGCAGCTGACATGAGAACTGAATTAGTATGTGAAAACTGCTTGAAAAAAAAGCAGAAACAGGCTGCATAGAGGTGTACAAAGGCTTCCAGAGCAAAGGCCAAATGGGGAGAAAACAAATGAGCACGAAATGTGGGCATATTCTAAGTGGAGGTGCGTTCGAGTTCAACTGCATAATTGGAAAAACGGACATTCTAAGATAGCGGAGTTGATTATATATATATATATATGCTATCTGCACGCCATGAATACAACATTCATGTATAAATAGACTCTATATGCCAGATATATCGAGGTATCATATGTCCCAACCAGCGTAGGCCGAAATTCAACCCACATCGCACGTGGAAATAGTCCATGTGGAACGACTGTGTTTTTACATATTTATGGCAGCCCCGGTGGCGTGGCGAATTGACCACACCTTTGCACGCAGAACGGAACCATGATGCAGCAGACTTTGCGCACAGAGTTGTGATTAAAACAGCGTAGCAGTTTCAGTGAACCAACGTTGACATGTTTTAAAGATGTTTTTTTTTTAAAAAAAAACTATGTTTATAAATGGCCCAATTTATAAACAGTTGTTTCAAGTTTATAAGTTGGTCCCAAAAAAATCAGGCCACGCGCAAAAATAGCAAACATATAGCAAACAGCAAGCAGGACTAGAGCCCCATAAGGTGGAGCTGATATGTTGGATTCCAATCTGCGGCGAATTTGTGCTGAAAGCTAGGTAAACCCATGGAATCAAAAGAAACATACGAAAACTATGCATCTGGCAATGATGAATTGATGAATTGAGGTTTCAGAACATAGCTAGATATAGCTAGTGACCCGGTTGCTATAATGTAACGTACGGCTTGCTTTTTGTAATGCTCGGCGCTGTTCAAAAAACCATCATCAGTCACCGAGCGACCGGGGGCCAACAGTTTCAGTTGGGTCTGCACGACTCATCATTCCGCAGCGACCGGGGGCCAACAAAAGAGCTACTCAGCTATTCCCAAACTATGCGCACTTTGATGATCTGGGGCAGTGATTCGAAGATATTCGAAGCTCCTCTGCACGAAAGTTATCGAAAGTTCATGGATATGAGTCACAATTGGCCCGTCGCGCACTCCCAAAAGCTCGAAAAGGATACCCTCCACTAATTCATCCTAGCGATGGAACCTAACCCATTTATAGATGAATACAATGTGAGGCCCCCGTTCGACAGCTAAGTTGGTGAACATAAGTCCAATTTCACTATGGTTTATGGTACTGATAACGAACTATGGGGCGAATCTAAACCAACATTCACATCACTGGGGGGGCCTCACATTGTACCAATCCCCATGTTTTCCCCTTGAAAGTTGGAATTGTCCATTACCATGTTACCAAGTTGGATCCATCAACATGACAAAAGCCATCCCGGCAACCATAAAAAACAGCAAGGAATCGCTAAACAGCAGCTATTGCAATGGAGGATTTACCCTGGGATTTTCATGGCTTTGAATGGGGTTTACCCTCTGGTAAACGACTACATAGCTATTGAACATGGCCATAGAAATAGTTGATTTAGCCATCAAAAATGGTGATTTTCCATAGTTATGTCAACGTTTACCAGAGGCTAAGCCACAACGATGATATCCTGGATATCTAAACAGCAAGGTTTGGTTTGAAAAACTGTCAGCTGTATCACTGCCAGCGATCTGCGAAACTCAGGCGCAAGTGGGACAGGCAGCTTGATACGCAGCCAGTGAAGTTTCCTGGCAGCTGGGAGCTTCCCTGGGAGCATCCCTGGTTTGGGCATCCCGGAATGAAGAGATCCAGCACGAAAGCCTTGTTCACAACGGGTACTTAGGTACTTGATGTTGGAGGGAAATTATTTACTGACTACAGGATGGTGCACCCCAGTTATAGGCTGGTTTATAAACCCCGTTATAGCTATATCTACCATAAACCATAGATTTCAGCCACTTATAAGCAACTTAGCTATCTTGGGGGCCCCATCCTATAGTAAGCATATATCCAAAACTGTGATCCAACTTCATAGCTCAGATTACACTGAAAAATGACTCAACAACGAAGGTTTTTGACCAAGATGTGAATTTCACAATCCTCTATAGATGTATATATAATATATACATTTATTTATGTATATATATATATACATATTTATTTATTTATATATATTCACACACACATCTACACATATATATATAATGGTTTGTCTAACAAAAGTGGAGATCTGAACCATGTAATGAGGATGATGAGGATAAACCATTCAACATATCACGGGATATGACCCAACAGGGGCTCAGATGGGCGAGGTGCTGTTTCTATCCCCCCGTCAATGGGAGATCTTCAGGATCCTAAAAATGGAGCTACGTTAGTACCATATTTTGGGCCATATTTTGTGGGGAAGATATCACCTTACATATGGTAGGTATACCTCCAGTCAATCGGTTCCTGAAATGGTGACCCAGTACCCAACTTGGTCAACGGTTACATAGCTATCATCTCTAACTCTAACAAAAACGAACCATCGTAAACCATGTAAACCGTGACCTCTCCGGGTATTCAGTGGTTGATCCATTGGTTTTCTCCGCCTCGAAGATACACATCTCCAACTTGTGTTTTTTGAAGCTCTGCAGCAAATGATGCTTACTGGACATCGGAAGGGACCTGCCAGGTCCAGACACCCACTGGGATTCCTGAGCCACCTTGGGGGATAGTTGTCATGGAAAAAATCACCCATGAAGCTTACGCAACCTACAAACCAACTTAGCAAACTAGTTGGGCACCACCTTGTAAAGCGTATTCATTGTTTTTGTTGGGGAATTAGGGTGCATGTTGCTTTCTATTTGCTAGCATGTCACCATCCGAATGACCAACAAATTATATCAGGTTAGGTCAGGTTGCCCAAGGTTTCTCGAGAAATGATGGGCCCACTGGTTCGAGCCGTACACCAGCCTCGGAAGGTATTTTCTTGTTGGTGCTCTGTGCGTGTTTTAATGACCTCCATTCTCTGGAAAGATTCCAGCGCTTTTGAAACACCACACAACGAATTTTAAATATAGGTTTTGACCTGGTTGGTGGTTTCAACCCCTCTGAAAAATATTAGTCAGTTGGGATGATTATTCTATCAGTCTATAATCTATGTATCCCCACATACTGATACCTGATGATGCTTCACTACTCATTGTATGTCCCCACATCCCACCACCGTGCCTTTCTTCGTTTCCGTTACTCGCCGTGCCTGAAGGCTTTGTCGATGGCCTCAAAGGTCAACTGTGGCAGCTGCTTGAAAAACGGTCCCGCATTGATTCCACCTGGCCATAGAGGCGGCCCAGATGCGAAACAACTGGGTCTGCAACTAGAATCGTGCCCTATCTTTGGTAGCATCACAGTCTCACACATATATTTACATACATATATTTACATACATATATATATATATATATATAAGTGTATATATACATTTATGCATTTATCTATTATTCACAGTTATTATACAATATTTATATATATATATAGATAGATAGATAGAATAGTCATTTTGTTTTTTATATGGCAACACATTTTATACAACCCAATAAAGTGCCCAACCAGGGTTTACCCGGATAAGCTCTTGAAACTGAGGGAAGATGATCGAAGCAAAGAAAACCGGTCATACCAGCAAAATCAAAATTGTGAATTGTGAATGTTCCGCGCAATTTAGGTTCATTCAAACATTGTACAGTAATTACTGAAGCAACAATTCTACCACTCAACATTCAATTTCTTTTATTTTTTTTAGGTGAAGTATGTATTTCAAAATTTCTTTTCTTATAGAGGCAACCTGGGATTCACAAACCCTCATGAATCGGGCACATGTTAACACTACCCGGCTAGTGGTTTCAACTTCTGTAGTCGGAGATCATCGTGCCGCCAGACCAGCCAGTCCTGGATTCCAATCTATTTCCCCAGCGGATCGATCATGATTCACCAAGCAGTGAAGCTCAAAATCAACTCGTGATTCATCAATTGGTCATGATTCAATCAACAAAAACTCGTTTCTTTCAGAAAACTGGTCCAGTTACCCTCTGGTAAACTAACGTAACTATGGAAAATCACCATGCTATTAATGGGGTAAATCCACGATTTCTATGGCAATTTTCAATAGCTTTTTGTTAACATTTACCAGGCCGGGTATTTCACATTCCAACCAACTCAGTTTTCAGCAAAATCAACCCCTTGGATCAACCATTAGAGACCGCTTTTGCCATGGCCAGCGCGCCATGGCGCGCCTGAAATGGGCAACAGCCGAAGACGCTGGGCGTCCGAAGCTTCGAACTCTTCCAGGACGTGCCTCGGCAGAAAGTGATGTATAACTGCCATGACTGGAGATATCACCTGCAATGTGGTGCCCCCCAGTTATAAGTTGAACGTTGGTTAACAAAAACCCTAGGAATAGTATAGGTATATCTCCCATAATCCATAGTTATTGGAGTTAGTAACCAAATTAGCTATTGTTTGGGGCACCACCTTGTGTACATAACTTATAAATATTTTTAAAATTACCGTTAATTACTATCTACTTTGAAGTCGAGACCCAAACATGGCAACAGCATGTACAACACCTACTGTACCAGGTGTGGGAAGTGCCAGAAAGGGAAAAGGGCCATGGTGAAAGGACAGACTGCCTGTGCGAGTCAATTCTCATGTCTCTTGAAAGGGACAGCAAAAAGAAGGAGTGCCCGGATGATGTGACTCGCACTCCGTGCAGAGCCAGCAAAAGCAAAAGGCCTACTTACTATGTGGTTTGTAACCTGTCAATGTATAATCCCCATGAGCTAGATCGATAAAACTACCATAAAACATCCATAAACCATAGGATCCACAAACTTATAAATCAACTTAGCCACCGTTTGGTGGTCACCTTGTAAATCTTAAACTTGCCAATAACTCTTTGTGGTCACCCACGAGTCAAGGCCTATTTTCCAAGATTCTGACCAAACAAAAATCCGGAAGTAGCTCGAGTCGATGTTCCCATTTTGAATGGAACATTGTCAATAAATTTGCATTGCAAAACACATTTCAAATAATGGTCCAAATTATTCCAATGATACCAACTGTACCAATGTTCATTAATATTCCAATATTATTCCGTTATTATCACTGGACAAACTGTTCCATGTACTAATGCTTCAATAATGGTTTTCATGAATTGTCCAATGATACCACGTTTGAATCATACACCAAAGGCAAATCATCCAGCGATGCTTGGAGAATCCGTTTTTGTTCCATTGGTTTTTACTAAACCATAGATCGAAGTGTATTAAACGAGTATTAAACCTACATCTTTTTTTGGTCAAATCCATGAATTAAGTCTACTTGCCATTTATAGAACTTTTTTGCCATGAAACTATAACTTATAAGTCATTACTACAACCATTTACAGACAAAATTTTCTCATAAAAAACACTGAGACATAATAATAGATAATTTTCAAAAATAATATCTATAGATATATAATATGTTCCCATGAAACATCATGAAACAAAAAGCACAAAAACGACCATTCTTCGATGGAGAGTCCTCCGCCCAGGCACTTGTAGGCCGTGGTGAGTTTCTGCGATGCTTCCGCCTGCGCTTCGAAGGAGGCCCAGGGGACGTTGGTGAAGTCGGGACCCACCACCTGATATGCGAAATGCCATGGTAAAATGCCATGTGGTTCTGGGTGGTTCTGGGTGGGTTGCCATGGTAAATCAGTTTCAAAAATGGTGGGTATAACGGTATAACTATAGGAATTGAGGATATGGAAGTGATAACCTCAAAGAATTGGTGATTCAATTGCTAAAACAGGAACGTTTTGTTGTAGTTCCCAAGCTAAGATAAACACTTGTCAAACAAGATCTTCAACAACCATGTCAAAGCAAAATGCCTTTGAACCGACTTATTGACCACTTTGGCATTCAACGAGTGACGACTAAACAAAGTCGCCTTGAGGACGACCCAATTCGCCTTAAACATGCTGGGTAATAGTTGCAATCAACATATGGTTGTGGGTCAAAACCCTGGTACCCAAACGGTAAATTAAAAACAACTGATCCCACCCAATATGGGAGTGATAGGTTTTGACCCATTGCCACATTATCAAAATAGCTGTTATGCCTACTTCTGCCCATTGCAGCTGTGCACCTGGGGCAGTAAACCCGGTCATGACTACTCGAGTAATTGTGGGGATGGACTTGGGTTATGTAGGACAAACAAGCAACACATCCAAGAAAAATATGCTGACCTTGAGGCACTTCATACTGAAACAATGTGATGTCAAAATCTTGACTTCTGTCCAGCAAGGAGGTATGCCCGTGTAAAATTAACCATTTGCCCAGACGCCGGCTGGAGTCCTGAGATTGTCTTGGATTTCTGGCTTGCAGCGTCAAGCTTCCGGACCAAAACGCCCCACTACAGAACCCATAACCATAATATTATCTCTTTCTGTGGCCATTCCAAGGCATCTTGTTTCAAATTGTGATCATATTCGATACGTAGTTAGTAGTTCCACAATGGTGTGGAAAGCAGGAAACCACACAAAACCAAAGACTTAATTATTGATTTGTTTGGACCCACTGCTACACAAAACAAACAAAAACAATCGTAGGCTGAAAAGCAAACCCATCCACTCAAACAAATGCGACACACCAAAGCTGTTGGAAGAATATGAAGACATGGCCAATCTTAGATACTCTGCCCAAAAAAAAAACTTAGCTGGTGAACGTAGATACTTAATCCCATTGATACCACCCAAGACTAAAGGATTAGTTTCTACCCATCCAAGATTGACCTAGAAAAATATTGCTACAATTACTGGTTGGTGGTATACCTACCCCTCTGAAAAATATGAGTTCGTTAGTTGGGATGATTATTCCCATATATTATGGAAAAATAAATGTTCCAAACCACCAACCAGTTGTGCTACAAATCCATCCAGTCCGCGTAGAAAAAACATCCTTCGGAATGGGCCCCTCAAAGCCGGCTGCCCAGGCACATGAATCACCTGCTTGTCACCGTACCTAGCAGCACGCGAAATCGTCGCATGGGCGAGTAGTAGCCGTCACTTGAAAACAACCTATGCACAAACTGCAAAGTGATGCAACATGTATATCACAATCCCATGACGGATCCATGTATGCTATATATGGTGCTCCATGGATCCCATCAATATACCCCCTTTATGTTAGCATTAATATGCCAGCACCATGGATCCGTCATGGGAATGCTACCAACATTTTTTAAAAAAACTTGAAGAATGATTTGTATTGATTTGTCACAATTTACATGGGACATCATGGAACACAAGGGTAACGGACCACCATGTTCCAACTGTGAAAAGGCCACTGCGCCATCTTTTGCTACGGTCCAAGGATTGTTGCAAAACGTTGGCAGGTCCATTTGGGGCCCTTTGGTTTAGACCTTGATGAGTATGACAATCCATGGAAAAATCCATTCGATATACCCTCTGGTTATTTAACGTAGCTATGGAGGATTATTATTTTTAATAGGTAAATCATCCAAAAACATCTATCAATTGGCCATTTTTGCCATGTTAAATAGTCAAAGGGTAATTTCATTCTGGACTGAGCAGCTTGCCCCACTTGGGGTTGCTCTATATAGATCCGCAAACTCCACCATTTTCCAATACCTGCCATAAGTTTTTTCGGGCTTTACCAATTCAGTTCCCAATCGTTTCCCACAGCCAACTTTTCTCAGATCTTTCGATCTTTCCCAGGTTTGCTGCTTTGCCGATGTTCCAATGTTTTCTCCTATTTTGTTCTCTATGTGTTTCCTCGTTGTTTACCAGGCTGGCCCTGTGTCGCGGTTTTTCGCCTGGTTTCCCAACCGGAATCATATCCCATATGTTCCATGTATAGAATATTTACCAACATTGGCCCGAACAAAATCACCCAGCCATGTAGGTAAATATACCAGCACCATGGGTCGCATATGGCTATGAATTTAAAACCGAGATGACACGACAAAATATGGTGGCATTGACATTCAGAAACTGGCACATGATTCCCAACTCATAGCCAGTTCATGGTGAACAATTGGCTGATTTTTTTCGTCCTGCCCATAGCAATACCCAGGAACATCCCAATTCTGTTTCAAGGGTCTATCCTATGCTCACCCGGCAGTAAATACCAACAATGTTTTGTTGGATTTTGTTGGACAAAGACTCAAAGACAGTGAAATCACCATTTATGGTTGCTATATCACCAAATATCCCCACTTGTATTCGATATGTCCCTAGTATATCCTAGTCTTCCCCAGTTAACTTACCCACTTATTACTCTTCTGCTCGCCTTGCGCCCGTCTTCACATTTCTCGGTGTTTCCGGGAAAAAAATGTCTGGTTGTTTTTTTTTCAATGGATTGGTTGAAGGGAACATATTAACCGGAAACCATAGATATTCCCAATAAATATTTGGGGTTTCCTGAAATTTGTCCTTAAACTAATCCATTGATATATTATATGTATATAAATCCCACCATACTCAGATCCAAGTATTCTCAGTATTTTTCCAGTAAACTAACATAGCTATGGAACAGCACCGTGTTTTTTCATAGGTAAAACATGGTAAAACATCTATAAATAGGTCCAAGGTACTTATGCATCTTGGCATCACACTCCTTCTGCACAGCCTCGCGCACATCACCTGGGAAACCTCGGCGGCGCGACTCCATTTCTATATTGGATTTGGAGTTGAGGAACAAGTGGAAATAATTCATAGGATCCATCTATGGTATATATATATATATATGCTAGCATATAACATAATATAATATAATACAATATAATATAATATAATACAATATAATATAGTATAATATAATATAATATATTATAATATAATATAATATAATATAATATATTATAATATAATATAATATAATACAATATAATATATATAATAAGAACCGGGTCATATAATATCATCTATATATATATATAAATATAATATCTAATAGGAAAGTCGTGAAACAGGTGTTTGGATACATCCCTAACCCATAGGATCCATGTATGGTATATATATATGCTAACATTGGGGGTATTGATGGTAAATGTTACCATATATAGCATACATGGATCCTATGGGTAAGTGCTTGATCCTTGACTGCAATAGAATCACATGTTTTTCATCAAGGTCTGTGGCATAAATCCCAGATAAATTATTGAACTTTCTCTGGCCGCCAATGCGTTTCTTCCTGATTATAGCAACCAATATGCTCCATGTATGGTATATTTACTTACATTTGGGTGATTATTAGGGCAAATGTAGGTAAATATACCATACATGGAGCATACGGGAAACCCAAAGAACGTCAACATTTTTAGCCACAGTTTTCACGAAGTTTTGACACTTAACATCTGGTTATGACGAACAGTTTGCCATGGAAAATCACCATGTTTAATAGGTAAACCATCTATTTCTATGGGCCACGGCTTCCATGGCTATGTTAAATAACCCGATGGGTATTGTCCAATGATATGAACACCGATCAAAAAATTGCCCAAAGATATCACCATCTCAGCCAGTGAAAATCCTCTTGGAATACGTTGTATTCCAACACTGAAAACAAGATAGTCTGGTTGGTGGTTTCAACCCCTCTGAAAAATATTCGTCAATTGGGGTGATTATTCCCAATATATGGAAAAATAAAAAATGTTCCAAACCACCAACCAGCAATACATTCATTACAGCAAAGCCAGGTTTTTTTCGATTAGAACCCGATGAAATCCTCATTTGATGCAATCATTTTCTAAGAATCTGAACGAGAATCCCATAATTTAGATCAACGTTCACCAGGTTTCACCAGCAATTTAAATAATTATGCAAATATCTAAATATATATATATATATATTAGAGTGCCAATCTTAGCTGGTTGCTAGATACTCCCGTTGATACCAAACGACTAAAGGATTAAAAAACGATGATGATGATGATGATGATGATTATCATGATGATGATATATGTACACTTTAGATAAATATATACTTTATCTCTATTAATGGTTTTGCATTGGAAATCCCAATTTCCATAAACTTCCCGTCCCATCCCGTCAGGCACGTGGATCCAGGTTGATCCGAAGCCAGGAATAGATGGCACGCGACGCACCTTCGAAGCGCGCGCTTGTCTTTTGGGTTTGTTTCACCAACGGAATTTTGGCGATTTGACCAGAAAAGATAGTGGTTTAAACCAGCCAAAATCTGGTGTTAACCAAGATTTATAGTTGATTTATAACGGTTTTCTGTTGGGTGAACGTAACCAAGGTACCCCAAATTTGCTTACAAGTTGGTAAGCGGCACTAGGTCAACAGTCGGGTTTATGGTGATGTAATAACTATAACTTAGATGGGTAAGAAAACGCCAAACATATCTGGGGGGGGCACCCTTGTTTGCATTTGGTCAAAATTCACCGCATCTTCGATATGAAAAACACCTAACGGAGTTGAGTTGAATATCGTTGAATGGTTGAGTTTAGACCTTAGATGCTTAAATCATCATAATTCATAAATATTAAATCATGATCTTGATATCCACCATTTAAAATCATAGATTTAAAATACTTAAATCATCATAAATCATCATAAATCATCATAAATCTACACATCCACCAGCTTTTTGGGTTTCCTTATCCATCCAATCAACCAATGATGATGGGCCGCCTCCCGCCCCCGCGGGGCCGATGTCGTGGATAAAGCGCAAGCCGGCCGGATCCAGCACAGCAGTGAGGCCCCAAGGTTCAGCAGCTTGACCTGGTCGAACGACCATCCGTGGCCCAACCATGGCAAATATATGGCCAATGATAGGATGAAAATATCCAGGTATTCATAGAATATGGTTATTTAACCAACATCAATGGGGGGTTTAATGGGATTTGTAGCTGATTTATGATAGCTAGGTTGGTTTCTAACGACAATAACTATGGTTTATGCTACTTATAATCTCCAGTAACTATAGTTACTGGAGATTATAAACTTCTTAAAGTTATGGCCCGAAATACCAATTATACCCCATGTCATCCCATCATTGGCCAATTATACCCTTTAAAAACTAACATAGCTATGGAAAATCACCACTTTAACAGCTGAATCATCTATACATGGTTCATTATTGTTATATATATAAATAGTTATAATTAGTTATAGCCGGCTTTTTCTATGGGATTATACATTCCACCAATGTTTTTTTGTTTTTTAAACTCATAACTGGTATTTCCGGCCATAACTGTGGTTGCTATACCCTCTGGGAAACGCTTACATGTAAAATCAATGGAAAATCATGTTTTTGCGATGGAACATATATGAAAATCATCACCATGATACCATGTATAATGAGTAACAATGGTAAATTCACTATTTCTATGGTCACTTTCAATAGCTATATTCTTAAATTTCAAGAGGCTAATTTCCTCCATGATAACAAACAACAAGCCCTTGTTTCTGAACTAGCTATAGGGTAGACGATATATTCGTTTTAGTTTGGTAACATTATACCAATATTATCCAATATATGTATCTTATTGTTTGCTAGAGATCCCATTTACACCATTGGGACCATGGATTCTAGAAATCATCAACACTCGTTGACACTGCCATGCCAAGCATTACCCTCTGGTAAACTAACATAACTATTGAAAATCGCCACTTTTCATGGGGAAAACTCACTATAAATGGCCATGTTCAATAGTTATGTGAACGTTTACCTCCATTAGAAATCGTTGATTTATCCATTAAACATGGTGATTTTCCATAGTTTTCCTATGAAAAATGGTGGTTTTCCCATTAAACATGGTGATTTTCCATAGTTTTCCTATGAAAAATGGTGGTTTTCCCATTAAACATGGTGATTTTCCGTTATGTAACCGTTTTCACTGGGCATGTCCTCAGCCCGTCACGCACAAAGTGGTGCAACGAGTCGAGCTGCACACCTCGCTGTTGAGCATCACCGTGGGCCAAAAAATGCTGGGGAGAACATAACTAGTTGGTGGTTAATAATGGTTATATAGTGGTTAATAAATGGTTAATAATGGTAAAACAGGTGGTTTCAACCATCCTGAAACATGATGGAGTTTGTCAGATTGGATCATCATCCCAACTATGGTAAAACAGTGGTAAAAACAGTGGTTTATAAATGGTTAATAGTGGTGAATAATCATGACCAATCAGCCAGATAGCCTGCAAAAAATGACCAATTCTGGCGGCTGGTGAGTAGACAAATGTAGATAATCCCATTGATATCATCCAAGACTACTTAGGATTAGTTTGTACCCATCTAAGATTGACCCAGGATAACATAAGCATATACCGGGATACATTTCAATAATGTCCATATATATATATTATATAATCCAAAATTGAACTGGCTGTGAAAATATGTTCCCAGTTAAACTTAGAATCGCCTATGGGCAATTATTTCCCCCAACTGACATAGATCCAATCAAACTGGTTTCGGTGATGGGCATCCTCAGCAACGCATGGATAGCCCAGTAGCTTTTGGCACATATTTACATGGCTACAATCACCATTTTGAACCGGTAAATCAACTATACACTGCCATATTATATGGCTAAATTACAATTTTTAATGGGAAAACTCACCATTTTTAATGGAAAACTCACTATAAATGGCAATTTTCAATAGCTATGGTTAAATTACCAGAGAGAAGTGGCTTCATTTTCTTGAGCTACCAGGTAGGTCACGTGAAATCGGTGAAATCTTGGAGGGTCAACATATGTCAACGTTGGGGCGCATGATGGGCAAAACTCAACGGGTAATGCGTAAAATAGGTGGTCATGTGACAACAGGGCCCTGAAATAAAGAGTCATTGAAATAGTTGACTGCACAAAGCACATACTAATTCAAGATTTGTGGGAACTTCTGGCGAATTTGGTTCTTGGTGACCTTGAAAGCATTTGAAAGCCAGAATTCACTTCAGTGTGGCCAGTCATACCCTCTGGTAAACAAACATAGCTATTGAAAATGGCCATAGAAATCGTGGATTTACCCATTGATAGCATGGTAATTTTCCATAGCTATGTAAACGTTTACCAGGGGGTAACTAGGTACACGCTTGATAGACGGCCGTGGCACGAAATGGGATTTTCAGCAAAAAACTCAATGTTTTGAACATGCGTCACGTACACGCTGTCCTTGCGAAGACCAGCAAGTTTGTGGCGTCAACCTCGACTTTCGTTCTAAGCTTCTTCGTTTCACAAATTCGGCGGCCGGCCTCTGCTTCCAATGTGCGGAGAGAGTTGAGGAAGTGTCGACAACACGTTTCCCCGAATCCAGTATTTTGCACCATATCCGTCACCCTCGGACATTGATTCAGATTTAATTTGCAATACTGCAGCAACATCTTTTGCAAGCCCAGTGGTCCGCATCGCAAGCCGCAAAATATGGGAAGGGATAGGAAGAGCATCCTATGTCCACAGAATCTCGATAGACATCTCCATCCACACGGCCGATCTGCTGGCCATTTCAGATCTGAAATATTTCGAGGAAGTGCAAGACGACATACAGTAGCGTAGCATCATGTATGTGAGGAAGTGCAAGACGACATACAGTAGCGTAGCATCATATATGTGAGGAAGTGCAAGACGACATACAGTAGCGTAGCATCATGTATGTGAGGAAGTGCAAGACGACATACAGTAGCGTAGCATCATATATGTGAGGAAGTGCAAGACGACATACAGTAGCGTAGCATCATGTATGTGAGGAAGTGCAAGACGACATACAGTAGCGTGGCATCATATATGTGAGGAGGTGCAAGACTACATACAGTACCGTAGCATCATATGTGTGAGGAAGTGCAAGACGACAAACAGTAACGTAGCATCATATATGTGAGGAAGTGCAAGAGGACATACAGTAGCGTAGCATCATATATGTGAGGAAGTGCAAGACGACATACAGTAGCGTAGCATCATATATGTGAGGAAGTGCAAGGCGACATACAGTAGCGTAGCATCATATATGTGAGGAAGTGCAAGACGACATACAGTAGCGTAGCATCATGTATGTGAGGAAGTGCAAGACGACATACAGTAGCGTAGCATCATGTATGTGAGGAAGTGCAAGACGACATACAGTAGCGTAGCATCATGTATGTGAGGAAGTGCAAGACGACATGAAGTAGCGTAGCATCATGTATGTGAGGAAGTGCAAGACGACATACAGTAGCGTTAGCATCCTGTATGTGAGGAAGTGCAAGACGACAGACAGTAGCGTAGCATCATGTATGTGAGGAAGTGCAAGACGACAGACAGTAGCGTAGCATACCCCCCAAACATGATGGGAGGAAGGAAATGCAAATGGAACGTTATTACCCCACCCCACCAACCCCCACCCCACACAATAACGTAGCATCATATATGTGAGGAAGTGCAAATGAACGTTATTACCCCACCCCACCCCACCCCACACAATAACGTAGCATCATATATGTGAGGAAGTGCAAATGAACGTTATTCCCCCACCCAACCCCACCACACCCCACCCCAAGGAGCAAAAAAGCAACAAAAGCACGCGGCCGTCTGCCAAGCGTGTGCCAACTATCCTGCCAACGATGTTTGGCTGTCGTGGCCCTACACCAAGATTTACCCAGGACACACCATCACACGGTACACCGATCCACATCCACTGGTCATGAGTTTTCCGAAAAAATATCCTCAAGATCAATATCGCATTCTGAAAATTTTGGCAACCCCGACCCCCACATTCAGATAGAAACAAAAACTTGGAATGCTGGAAATTACGTGGGAAACATTATCATGTTTACCTGGAAACGTGTTTGTCGATCTTTTGGGCTAATGAGGTGAGCGAAACAAGAAGTCTATCCAACTGGAACTGGGTACTGCCCTTCCAAGAAAGAGGGGCTAGAAAAAGATAGAAGAAGTCCCGTTAAGGGTCTTAGTAACACCATATATCGCTGTGATGTTTAAATAGTTGTTGGTGCCAGGCGCATCTCACTGGGTTTGGCTTAAAACAATCCTGCTGTGTTCGCAAGCTAAAAGGGAACGCTTTGAAACCGCAGGAAAACCTTGCTATTTCACGTAAACTCAGCAAAAATGACCACTGCAATTAAGCAAAACATGTTTCAAACCCCATTCTTAGGGCCATCTTTTCATGTTTGTTGCTTCACTCATTCATCCAGTTTTGTTGGTTCCAACCATCTGGGCTTCTTCCAAATAAACAATGTATCATCAAATAATATCACATATCTACAGGATGGGGCCCCCAAGATAGCAAAGTTGCCTTATAAGTTGCTGAAATCTATGGGTAAGTATAACGAACTATATAGTATTCATGGGGTGAAACTAAACCAACATTCACATCACTGGGGGGCACCATCCTGTACCATCCTGTATCGGGAACATCGGGACACCACTGCTGCACCATCCAAGACACCAAGAACTCCGTAGGGCTGTACCGCCACTTCGGGTAGAATGGAATTCACCTCCTCCAATGCAATTGCTTGGGACACGCCTCGCCGGGAAACGTGCCATCCATCTGACTCTGGTGACTGGCCACTGGGCCAAACAAAGGTCAGTCCACTCCCTTTATTGAAATTGATTGATAAATAATATGATTCAAATGATGGAGCTAAAACCAAGAGACATTTCAATGGAATTGGCACACTTCGGAGTTACTGCACCATGGGTGACAGTATATCTTGATGTTTTTTTATGAGAGGAACCCACTTGCCAACTCTGGATGTGACAAATAAAATGGTGGGAACTAGCCAATGAATAACAAGACGGTGTGTAATGTGGGCCCCCCTTGTCATAAGTTGGTTTATAATTAACACCGTCTAAATGTAGTTATAAGTACTATAAATCCCAGTTATTGTAGTTATAAACCAACTTAGCTATCTTGGGGCGCCACATTGCAATTTTCAGAATAAGGATTTCACAGGAAAAGTTGTAGCACCCGCAAAGATTATCGAAATTCAATGTATGAAGGGCTTATGAATTGCTGAATGTCTCTGTTTGGCCAATTTTTCAAGTGGGGGGTGGTTATATTTTAACAAACCTCGGTTTATTCCTACTTCTACAGCTTATAACACCTAGATGAGTAAATCATAGTGCGTCACCCCTATACATCCTCTACTAACTAACCATTTGAATCTGGGACATCATCTTACTCAGTGGGATGCCTGGCCAAAGACACTGAGGCAGTTAAGCCGACCCACGTGAGGATACTAACGTATACCGTATACCGAAGTCACCTAGGTTTACCTGGCCACTGCTTAGCAGATATGCCCCTTTGAGTTGCTATGTCCTCATTGGCCCATGGCCTTCCTATGGTAACCTGCAGAAGTGTTGGCTACGTAAGTAGGCATCACCATCCAGTTGGCTTACCCAGAACCTACCATGTACCAGTGGTGAGATTCCATACATAAACTGCCTGATGCTATGGTCATGAACCACTTACGATTCCCCAGATGAGCCCCTACGGATCCTACTAGAGATACCTTCAATGGCCATTTCAGGAACCTAAATTAGAGATACGTTAGTACCATATGTTTGGACATATTTTGTGGGGATATTCCCTGAAATTGAGGCCTTATATATGGTAGGTACATCCAATTTAGGTTCCGACTTTTCGCAAAACTCTCAGGGTCTGATAATGCAGGGCTGATGCCTGGAGATGGACCTGATTCGGACCCGGGCTAGAGCGCACACACCGTGAAGAGGGTCAAAGTATCGGACCACCCTTCAGCACTCTTCCAACCGAGGAGCAAACCACGAGGCTGGTGTAGAGGGGTGGAGGAGCTCGGCAATCTGCGCATTGACCTCAGACCATTCCCTCGCAATGCTGCCAGGTTGTGGTAGAGGAGCTCCTTGGTCCGTTGCATCCTCCGGATCTCCAAGGACATGTTGTCCAACTCGACCTGCTGCGAAAAGATGCAGTCTACGAGGTCGACCTCGTGTAAGCCATCGGCTTGATGATGAGTGGCACTGCTACCACTCTACCATCACCACGGCACTGAATGATCCCGTCGGGGAAGGCCAGTTTTGTGTGGCAATGAACCTTGCTGTAGAGCGTCCCCTTGGAGGAAAATGACATAGTCATATGTCTCCACCAACGGCTCTTCCCAGTCAGGTTCCTGAAATGGCCATTGATACCTGGATCTACTGATTCTACTGATCATGTTCTGCAGGGTACGGTTTGGTAAGGTTTGATTGAATCTTCAGAAATGGTTTCTTGCATCAAGGCATTATACTATATGCCATTTATTGTTGTAAAGTGGCAACCCCAATGCCATAAACCGTCCCCAAAATCATCATTTTTGTGGGTGCCTCAAACAATGTTTATTTGCGGCATTGGGTTAATCCCAGCTAGAAACCTTCATGTAGCGCCGGGATTTTCTAGCCAAGTTGGATTACCAAGGGGTAAAATCCCCAAATTTCTTGATCGATCACGTCCTGGTACCTCAACTATCCACAAGTCCCACCTGCAGCCGCCCTTTCAAAGGGCCAAAGGTACAACACCAAAGTGCTGACCTTAGCCGCGCCACGTAAAAACTCAGCCCCCGCCCCTGGACTTTCCGTGAGCCAAGCCTGGGAACTGAAACGCTTGATGCTCACTGATTTCACCCCCCAACAAGTCATCATCGAATGGGATTCAAGTGCCAAACATGGGATACAATGTTGGTCCTTTAAGCAACGAAAGTACCAAACTATGAAGCGACCAAAGTAGGTTGAACTACCATTCATCATCTCCAGAATACTCCGTCGTTTGAAGCTTGATACCTTCATGGTTAATGTCCGATTTTTGGCAGTTGAACGTCCTTTCCGGAAACAACACATTGTTCAGTTGACCTGCTATATACATCAATTCTCATGTTCATCAAACATAACTGTAGAGACGCATGATATAAACCAAATTAACTACAATAGCAAACACAGAACATTAAAATTAACTATATATATATAATTTATCAACAAACGCATCAACCAGCCAGGCTTAACCGGGCACTCGGTCGTTTTTGTCCAGCCACTCCCAATGCCACAAAGATTTGCGTCCGGAGCCAGGGTCGCCTCAGTCACGGCCAGTTCTGTCTGTTGCTTCCATATCTCACTATAGCATTACATATCATTAAACTATCATAAAACATTAATTAACAATATAAACGCCATAAACCCGACTTAATCTGGTTAGAAACCAATTTAGCTACCTATGAAAACAACTTTGTACTTTGTAGCCATTGATTTTGGTAATTGCGAGAAATTAGCTACACACACACTAGACATAATATCCCCAACTAATGGTAATAGCCATAACTATCGCACCTCCTCACAACAAATTCCGGTGAAAGAAAACGCACAGCTCACTTTCCGCCGGTCTACCCATCTCATCCCTATGAATCATTTGAAGATCCCCCAAGTAGTAGATTTCCAATTGGAAATCTGGCAAACATCTTGAGCAAATCCAATTGGTCCTAGATAAAGCACTGACAAAAAAACAAAAACGATCCCTATGGATCCAAACACTGTCTGAGAAGGTACGGCTAAGCCTCCAAATTATAGCCCATGACGGATCCATGGTGCTGCTATATATGGTGTGCCATGGATCCCATCAATATACCCCCTTTATGTTAGCATTAATATACCAGCACCATGGATCCGTCATGGCTAGTAAATTATACCCCAGTCCCACTTCCCAAGAAGCATTGCCAATCAGCCAGATACCCTGCAAAAATCACAAATTCTTTGCCAATGTGAACGTAGATAATCTCCCAAAAAATACCATCCAAGACTAGTTAGGATTAGTTTCTATCCATGTAAGATTGACCTAGCTTCCCATAGGGCAGTATTTGGATCCATAGGGCATCTGAAGCAAATCCCAGTTCTCCATCGCCAGCGACACGTCTCTTTCGCCGCTGCCATCGGCACGGCCTCCGCGTCGCCTAAGTCGCCGTCGCCGTAACGGAGCAGCGAAAGATCTTCGGTCCTTGGCTTCGATGGGATGATCCAACCGTTGGGATGAGACCCGGTCAACGTTTTTACCAAAAAACGAACTGGAAATCTATGGAAAATCACCATTTTTACTGGGAAAACTAGGGAAATCACCATTATGAATGGTAAATAGTTGTTGAATCACCATTATAAAATCACCCCAGCTAAAGGGTACAATAGTAAATCAATAAATCTCTAATGATTCATCTTGAAAATCACATTTCTTTAATATGGTAAAAATAAAAAATAAATCAATCAACTATCGGTAAATCAATCAACTATATGATGATAATATAGGTACATCAATCAACTATATATATGGTCCATGGCTTCAATAGCAAACTGTTAGTTTACCAAAGGGTCGTTTTTTTGGTAGTAGATAGTAGAAACCGTATATTTGGTGGTCACAATCAAGTGAAATCCACTACTTTGCTCGTGCTCGTAATGTCCAAGCTAAGTGTTTGCCGCTTGAAAACTCTCAGATCGGGGACTTACTAACTAGGCTTATTCACCACTTACGAAGTGGGCTAAGCCTCCAAGTACCAACAAAATGGTAAATAAATGTAAATAAGGTAAGCTATAAGACCAAGGAAATTCTATAATCTGAAGAACACGTGTTTTAGGTTCATGGAATATGTTTCACTCGGCCAATTTCATTGGTCGTGAAAACCCGGCAAAAAATTGGATATTATGAATGGATATAACCCATAGGATCCATGCATGCTATATATGGTAACATGGATCCCATCAATATACACCAAATGTTAGCATATATACCATACATGGATCCTATGGGTAATGGAAGATGTAACCCGTTTCACGCCTCAAAGGGATCATTGTGACATGGTTGGGACATAATGGGGAGATGTAGCAGGGAGTATAACATGATATAACGGAATATAATCTACCTGGGCCCTGGGCCAAAAAATCAACAACCAGATACAGTGGTAGTGAGATCGTTAGGATTCACCCAAATCTAGTAGCGGTGTATGACCCATTCCCCCAACAAAAAGAACGATCAATGGTTGCAAATCGATGTCCATGCACTTGTGGCCCTTTACCAATTATAACTGGTTACAACTGGTTGTAGGTGGAATTATACATTCCATAAATGGGGTTGTAAGTACTGATAAGGGCCATAACTGCATGATGGATGTTGCTGATACATGGTCAATACTCAAGTACTTCTGATTTAATACCAAGCGGATCAACAAACAACAAGCCTAAGCATCTACTGGTTGGTGGTATACTTGCCCCTCTGAAAAATATGAGTTCGTCAGTTGGGATTATGACATTCCCAATATATTATATGGAAAGTCATTAAATTCATGTTCCAAACCACCAACCGGATGGTGTTTTTTTCCCTGAAAACAGAGCAGTTCCCAGTTCCAAACATTTGGTTAGTTGATGATTATTGCCACATTGCTATACTGGGGATATATGGTGTCCTTGATTGGGATCTAACAAACAGCAAGCCTAACCAGTCTACGAACTACGAACTTCGAAGATCACGGCGTCCCTGGTCCAGTGGACTGGGAGATATCAATGCTGTCCGCCTATTCAAACTGCGCGCACTTCACACGACTTAGTACCTATCAAAAACTATCCTCTGGCAATGACTAACAGTTTTTGAAAATGGCCGTTTATAATGGATTTATAGTGGATTTATAGTGAATTTTCTAGCCAAGTTAGATTACCAAGGGGTACGCTCTGGTAAACTAACAGTTTGCTATGAAAAATGGCCATTGAAATAGTGGATCAAAATGGTGATTTTCCATAGTTATGTGAACGCTTTTCAGAGGGTAAAGGAAACAAACGTTTGACGGTGACGCTTGTTTCTACAATGGGCGAGTGAGTTTCCCATCAACAGCTCCGGAATCGAAAAAAAAAACATGTGTGTTTCGACATGTTTAGACAACGTGATATTCCCCATAGGTTTGGCTTACCCCACGCAACCACCAACAAGCAGGGCTTAGGATCTCCCTGTTCTGATCACCACGAATCACACGAATCACAATGGGAATGCACCCGTCAAGATCTTCCAGTCAGAAGACACCAGCAACAATATCCTCTGGCAACCAAACACTATCCGATATAGCAAATAAACACCAGCAACCCCGGGAAAATTGCGGAGGTGTCCAAATTATTTTCTGAGTGAAAGTGATTGAGGGAAATGGTGGCCGGCAAAGGAAACATCAGCAGGGCTCGAATGACGCGCAATGTGGACTATGCCTCAAAAATATATCTCTCAAAATAGACCGTCGCAGTATTAAATCAAAACCATCAAGTGTAACCAAGTTTGACTCATGAAAAAACAATCTATTGTGATCATCAATCATCAATCATGAATCAATCACCTATTACCAATCATCAATCATCATCAAAATAATCAATCATCTATTACTATAATCAATCATCAACCCCTGTTACCGTGACCTTCCCATCTCCCTTGCGCTCAAGGAACGCCATCGCTCCCGCGCCGTTTGCGACGCTTCCGATGGCGGGGGTTCTCCGCGAAACTTTGGCGCGGAACTGATGCCCAAACGGCAGATGAGTTCCAGTGGTTCCTTGAGAAAGGGTGGTAAAACAATGTACCCTCTGGTAATGACTAACAGTTTGCTATTGAAAATTGCCATAGAAATAGTTGATTTACCAAACTGAAAAATGGTGATTTTCCACAGTTATGTTAGTTTACCAGAGGGTAAAACATAAAAAGATGAGTTTAAGAACCAACTTATAGCTAGGGGCACCACTTTTCAACTTTTAAATCATTGCAAATCCACATGGTTAACAAAGATCAAGTATGTTTCTGAGTAAGATGTAGGATACGTAACCCCTAATACCCTTGCTCCGAATCAACAAATATAATATGGAATTCCTATATGATTTGATTTGTTCAATGGAAAACAAAACTGAGCGTCAATATTGGCCTTCACTAATGAGGACTTCAAAACAGCTCCCCCTTTCTACGCGATGCAAATGAGCTTGATGTCCAAAGCTGAAATGCCCTCCACCCCTCCGGTAAAGTGGCAATGGAAATCCCCTACTTGGAAGTTCATGCTGGTTAGTAACTTCTTAGCTGATATACGCGGGATATGTAAGTCGCGTAAGTAAGGTTATAACTCCGCTATGTGTACAGTTAGCTGACTTATATCTGGTATAAATGAGCTAAATAAGTTATGTTGAGTTATATTTTTTCTAATGAGTTACTATTGAGATACTAAATAGTCTAAAGCGATAGCAGAGTTAGTAAATATTAAGGGCAGAAATAGAAGAGTTAGCCTAAGTGCTATATTTCATTTAGGCGGGTTATGGTAAGTTGAATAAATGGGTTATGGCATTTAGATAACTCCCCTAAGTGCAACTTAGTATTTTTTGGTAAGTCCGCTAAGTCTGATTTAGGGGCCCTAGAAAATTGAAAAAAAACACCCTGGGAGATTGTTTTTTTTGGGTGGTGGCAGCCTGCTTTTTTTTTGCTTCACGATGATTGATCATTTTTTTCCACGCAGATGGTTTGAAAAAAAACAACAGGTTGATTGTGGGCGATGTTGTTTGGGGTGAAACATGTTTTTTTTGCTTTTGTCGGGGAATGTGTTTTGTATAATTTTGCCAAACTAGCATGTTATTTTCTTGCGGTTGCTAGGCGAATGAAAACAGAAAGGGCATGGAACGAACATGTTTCCTTGGCTCAATTGTTTTTCACCCCATGCAATTTCAGAATGCAACATGTTTTACCAAAGTAGATTTTTAAAAAAAGGAACAGAGAATGAAACAACAATTGTTCAGTGGAACCTTACATCGATTTTTACTTGTTCAGCTTTGAGAAATGTCATTTGAATCATCATGTCTTCGACTTCGGTCCGCTCAGACCGTGGATGGTGGGCATTGGTTCACCTGTGCAGGCGTCTTCCGAGGAAGGGTGTTCTATATAAGAAATTAGATTTGATCGTGGTCATTGAACCGTTTTGGAACTTGGAAGATTGCACCAAATATTCATGGAAATGTTGTGTTGTCAATCAGGGATTGTTGAGTTCCTAGCCAATGTTTGATTGCTTCCTTGCAGTGCAGAAGCAGGCAGAGCATCGTCTCGCCTGCCCAGCTGCAGAGTTCACTCGCAGCTCACCGTAGCTCGTTTGGGATCAGATCGAGTGAACAAAAACAACATGGCGATTCCACAGGAGGTCGCTGACAAAGTCCAGCAGAAGCTGGCGGAAGCCAGGGATGGCACCAAACTGGTGTCAACAGTGGACGCAGTCCTGAAGATTTTGCAGGCTCATTCCCTCGCCTGGCGGCAAACAATCTTGCCGCCGCATGTGGGGGTTCATCAGATGAACCGAGATGGCCTTGGCCTCAACAGCAGTGAAGTACATGCGCTCATAGATGACGTGTTGAGCGTCGGGTTCGCCCGTGATGAGGTCAGGGGCGTGTGCTTCGAAGTGCAGCACTCAAACGAAGCTACACGCAAATTCAATGAAAAGATGGTTGCAGAAAGCGGAGGCAATCTCGCCCCCTTGGATGCTGCGAGCATTCGATATGCATCGGTGGCCGGGTCACATTTAAACGCTGGATTGAACTGCTGGCTCCAGTCAATCAAGCACCAGGGCCAGCCGTTGAGCTTAGCCAGATTGCAGGAGATTGACGCAGAGTACTACAAGGCGTGCATGGAAGGAACAAGTTGGCTTGTGGTGTCTAGCCAGGTTGAAAGCAAGTGGCCAGAACTTCCTGGGATGATCCAGGCTGCCAACAACACGGCTTCGCACCTGTCCAGGACAGAGAGTGAGCTGCAACTCCTGAGAAAGATATGGCATTGCACAGTGGCAAAGCAGGAAGGTGGCAAGGTTTCCCTGTGCTGGGGCGACATCGCCAGCATGGTGCTCAGGACGAAACCCACATTGGGTCAGTCTGGGCCATTCCTCTTCAATTTCATTGTGAAGTTCAGCGGTGGAGTCAAGGGTGCTTTCCTGGAAGACACCTTGAACTACATCAAGGCACATGGATATGCCCAGAGGACTGTCGGCGCCGAAGTGTACGAATTGCTGGCACAGGACATCAAAGGAACAGAACAACATGCCATCTATCGACACTGTATCCAGGCTGATTAGCTGGCAAAATTGTCACAAGGTAACAGGTGGCTATATCAAGCACGTATTTCGTTAGATGCCAGGGTTCAAGTCAACTAAGGTGTTCTGAAAGCATTGTACACCGTTCCGGATAAGACTCTCTTTTGCACAGACGTCCGGAAAGCAATGTCAGCGAACATGAAGGCCAAGATGGTCATGGTTGAAGGCGCGCTGGCCACAGCCGAGAAGGTCTGCGCCTACTACAAAGTGGAGGGGCACATCAAACTTGCTGCTCTTGGAGCTTTCTCCAGGAACTGCATCTTGGCAGTCATCGAAAAGAAGCACAAGGATCTTCCTTTTTTTGACTCTGTCGAAGCTGCCGGTGTGGACTTCATTCAGAGCCTCAATGAGCAGATGGGCAACCCAGGGATAGGTTCTCCATGGGTAGTGCCATCGAAACCGGAATCTGCAGCATCATCAGGAAAACAGAAAACGCCGAAAAGGGCTCATGGAGAGAAAACAATTGAGCCCTTTGGCCAAATGTTGCATATAGACTTTTTACGTGTTGTGCATTTTATTTGATCAGGGCAGGCAATCCATTGGCCAAGCGGTTCAAAATATGTTTTTTCGTTTGGGTCATGCCTTGAGGCTGAGAGCATTAGATTCGATGGGCAGAATCAGCAATGCTGCCATGCTGAAGGACAAGGGTTTCACCGAGGGAATGATCGTGCATCGGAAGAGTGATGATACCATCGCCACGATTGAGAAGATGGCAGCGGGATCGATCACCTTGAAGGTGGGTGCAGAGTTGAAGACTTGCAGTAGCGAATCGTTTTTGAAGGGAGATTGGAAGCCCAGTCGTGAGAAGGCGGAGGCTGAGAAGATTGACTGGCTCCCTCATTCTCCGCAGCATTCGAGGGAGCACCTGGTGGCTGCCATGAGATCGAAGGTGGTGTACACCATGTACGTCAAAGCCACCCCATGCCCCACAGAGCTTGAGATCTTCACGAAACCCAAGCAGGTGAAGGCACTCAAAAGCTTTTCCAAGGGGGCTTTGCGTCTGGAACTTCAAACCTACAAGGTGGACATCAAGACTGAGGACAAAGGTGCAGGAGGCTCTGTTTGTCTGGGCCACTTTGCCGACAAGGACAAGGTTTCTTTGATGTTTCTTTTCCCATGCACCATCGGGAAGCACGGGCAAACACGGTATATTTTGGATATCTAGTTACCATGTGTAAAAAACGGAACATGTTGAAATGATTGCAGGATGCTACCAAGCACTGGATCTTTCTGAATCCCTGCAGCAGTTCCAACTACGTTGCCCCCTGTTGGTACGTGCAAGTGACGAACGAATATGATGAGTCCAATATGGAACTAAGTTCAGACTGCAGTGGTCAAAAATTGACATTGGACAAAGATTTCAAGTTTCCACGTTTGGTGAATCATAAAAAAATTCAGGCTGGCGAAGCCCTTATTTTGTACAAAGATGCGCCTCAGAACCCAGATGCCCCAGTTGAGCAATTGCAAGATGTCAAGCGCCGCAAGACTGGGAAGGCGCCAGGCGCATAGACACATGGTAGATTTTGCATCATGACTGGGTCCGCTATATAGGAGTGGTGGCTGTTCCATGAAAGTTTCATGAGCAAACCTCTTATCAAAACAATCATGCAACTGCAATTCAATGGATTGATATCATCACAATTTTGGATGAACGGACCGAGCAGTCGAATGTCTGTGAAACAGGATATCAAAACACCAAGAGCTGCGATGGCCAAGAAAACGTAGCTGCTGAGCACAAGTTGGAAAGATAACATATTGTTGTGCTGTTACTTTCTTGTTTGGTTCCAAGGGGGGGCAGGACGGAACAATTATTCATGAGTTGGTTTGTGGTGGACATGGCCTTGGCATGCGGGAAGCAATGCGTGGCCCAAGGACTCGGAAGGGTAAAAGGTTCATCAAACTATAGGAGATTTTGCCATGGAGACCGAGAGCCCTATGGAGTGGGTGATCAAGCGCGTCACTGCTGTGCAGACTCCGCATAGCAGGAAAAATTGGTTTCCTGAGACCAAAGATGTTGATGGTTTCATCTTCTTTCATTTCGGGAAGTTTGAAAGAGGCGTGATTTTCGCCCTCACAGGCAAAGGCCTAGAATTACGGGCGAACAAGAGCCCTCACTTACTCGATGGAAAAGAGTATGATCGCATTGTCCATCTGAGAAACGCCGAATGCAATCGTCGATATCAAGAGACCATGAAAAGAGCCGCGGAGGCACTGGGGGAGGAATGGAAACCTACCAAGAACTCCATGATGGCGAAGGATGATCACCGCCTGATCGTGGCACAGTACGTCACGATCAGCCTGCCAGTTCTTCAAAAGGATGCCACATGCATCGGTCCTTTGGAGGCCAAGGGCCTTTTCGAACGAATCAAATGGAGAGGTTTCAAAAACAACTTAATTATTGGTTTA